AGTCTTTGATCCACTAGATCACTTCTCAAATATATTACCAGGCTATTGTTTTAAGGATTAATACTAAGGAAAATCCCAAACTGATACACCCGTGATAAATTTACCCAAAATTAATTTTTTAACCATCAAAAACCCAAAACCAGTACATTTATAATAAATTTACCCCCCGTTAAATTGGGTTAATACCACGAAAAATCCCAAACTGGTTAACCTGTTAACTACCATGTGTCATCCAACTTAGAAATTTAACGGTAAAATTTAACGGAAACTAGCGGAGGGTAATTGTCACGAGTATACCGGTTTAGGGTTTTTAATGGTCAAAAACTTAGTTTTGGATAAATTTATCACAAGTGTACCGGTTTGGGATTTTTCGAAATAATAACCCTTGTTTCAAAGAAGCCAACAAGGTTCCAGATTGGGTAATTAAGTTGCAAATGAAAAAAAAAATTGCTACCACGAAATTGGCTTGTATTTTTCCTCCTCAAAGCCCTGTGGGCTCCGCCCCTTTAATGGGCTCTTTTGGTTTTCCTAGTAATTGATTAAATTATCTTCCGACCAAAAACGAAAAAGAGGAAACAAAACTATGATTCATAGCATATCAAATATGGGGTAAATTGAGTTCAATTTGACTTTGAGGTTTCATCTTGTTCATTCCCAACCAAAAACCCTCTCTCGATTCTCCACCGAAATTCGAACACATGATTACATTCACTTTTTCCGTGATTGATGACTTCTAGGTGTTAAAAGTTATGATTTGGTAAAAACTCGAGACGTTGAATGATCGAGTTGTGCAACTTCGAACTCGCGATGGATGGCACCTAAATATCATCTCGGATCATACTGTCCCGTGTAACAATTTTGCACCCGGTTGAGCAATGATTTTAACTACAATGTTTGGTAGGGGTGGTCGGTCACCTAAGTTTTATTTAATCAACAACGACTTGAGCCGTCGATTCTTCCTTCACAAGGTCAGAACTCTAATTTTGGATTTTCCTATTTATGGCCAGCACAACTATTGCATCGGAAACACTAGTCTTCATTCCCACATTTTATGCGCGTGCGAATTTGATATGTCATGTGTTTTAAATGTAAATGATTGCTGCAAATAATTGTCCTAAAATTAAATTGAGGAAATTAATTTGTGTCTCGATTTTGCAGCATTCCCTTTCGCAGCATGGAGAAGCCAAGGTCGTCGCTATTGATGGCCGCCGATGTTGCGCTTTGCAAGCATTCATTTCATCGCAATGCTACAGGAACTTAGCTGGGAAAACCCATTAATTTTTATTGCTAAAATTGCGTTCGAATGAAGAAACGCGTCCCATCTTTCCAATTTAGAGGCTCGATTGAAATGATCGCGTTCATGTTAATTTACCCAATATAAAAAAAAACTTGGACATTTTTCTTTCGCGATATGTCATAATAATTGGGTAACGAATGAAAAGAAAGGAAAAAAAATACGAGGTACGCGCATGTTAAAGGGAAGTCGATACATTCGATGGTTCCCTATTCTTCGTGCATGCAAGACGGCTATAAAAGTAAATCGATACGATTGCGTTATAACTTTATAACTTTATATCAATAAGAGGGTATGATGACTTTATGTCAACGGGAAAATTGGGAATTTTTTTGAAAATTCGGTCAGTAATTACCGCGATTGAAGCAAAGTACTTGATGAATTTTAGGTTTTGCAAACGATCACTCCGCGAAAATTAAAATCCTTAAAACTTTGCAAACCAAATAAAAAAATTCGAAAAACGCCTTGACTGAAACGATAGGATAGCGTGAGAAATTGGGAATTGTTATGTCTACAAGCCCAAGTTTCTTCTGTCCAGTTATTTCTTCGCTCACTCAATCTAGCTAGCCAAATCATAGGACGAATTTTGCTTAATCATAGGACGCAAAGTTTGACTTTTAACTACATTTCAATTTAGACTAACCTAAGAAAGTTCGAAATAAGCCGGATACATCGGTTCCGCGGCTCCTCGCGAGGTGAATTCATCGCACACATCATTGGCTATTCCCGGCGCATCTCCACGGCCAGTTATGCAACTACCAACATCGAAAAAAAATCCCGTGCTATCAGGACCTCGACGTGTCCACAGACCCCATTTTTCCTCGCCGGAAGCCAAATTCGTGCCATGCATCGTGCTCATCGGCCATGCGCGCTCCCGCTCGTTCCTTAATCGCCGAGCCGTTTCATTGCGGGCGCCCGGTTGAGAAGAGATTGATTATAAAGAGATGGGAATATGCTGAGGCTGCAAAAGCACGTCAGGAGAAGGTAGCATCCGACTTAGGATACTGGAGAAATTCATTCGGTCAAAGCCGATTGCATGATATGAGGATTGTTTGTTTTTTTGAGCGGTACATTCGTGCCGCGAAAGCAATGAATTGTAAATAGGGATTTAGCAAAAAAAAATAATCAATTGTAAATAGGAACAATCAGCGTCATTAATTCTCAAATTGCTTCTTTCTTTTTTTTTTTTCATTTTCTACTGTTTAGCCTTCGAGAAGAACAAAAAAGGAAAAGGTAAGGACGATGAGGACTTTGTAACGAAGGAACGACGCGGTTTCTTAGGGAAAAAACCGATCCATTTTGCTTCCTCAACTATATAAAAATTGGTTAAATGTACTTTTTATATGCACAAACACAGTCTCAAGACGACACTCAAACTGGAAAAGCAGCATAGCTTGCGGAGGGCAGTGTGTTATGTTTAAATTCCATGACCAAAGACCATTTCCGTGCTCGCCCCACGTCGGAAAATCCTTTGTTTTCTTTCGAGTTTTGGCCGATGGGCGAACTGCTTTCTTTGTCATCAAGTCATTCTGTGTTTTTTGTCAGCGGCCACTACGATACAATTTCAACCTATAGCCATGAATTTCTTCTGGAACGCGTGCGCAGAGAGAGGTGATTAATGGGCAGGTCTGAGCTAGCTAGGTTTGGTCACACTCCGAGATCGGGTCTATTTCATTGCCCCGCGCACATATCAAAAGTTTATGTACGAAAATTTGGGGTCGGACTGTTATATGTCCGTTTAGCCTGGGTCAGGCCGAGCATCACAACTAAATAAATAGCCCTATCCATAGACCCGTCCAAAAGTATCATTCGAGCACATCATGGACTATTAGGTCCACGATCGGGGCTGATCAACACTAACAAATTCCGACACGATACTTTAAAATGTGCCGCGAAAGAAAAGTCAAGCACTCGTATGCCTCGTGACACGCTAGCAAATATACAAAGCGAGATTAATCGGTATGCCAAAGCAAAGATGAACGGGGATAAGACGACGACATGGGGACGACCACTTGTTAGGCACCAAGGTGGAGAGGCTGCCGATTCAAATCACGTGCGATCAATCAATGGGCCATGGAATTGGAAACCTCCATGTTCAGACAGACGGTGATCATTAACAAGATAAGGGAAAAGGAAGTCAGCCCCATCTGCCGGGTCAAATACCGCGCGCTCGACGAGGATGGCCGATGTTACTTTTGATGCCATTTTGGCGTTCACTGGCCAGAAAAGAAAACGAATATAGCAGTAGAGAATTTGGGTAGACTAGAGAGAACGGAAGAGCAGAGCGCCAGATGATGAAATGTAACTTTTGATGACATTTATTTGATCTTTATGACGGTCGAACTTTTGCTGCCAACTCTAGCCTTTCTCGCTTGAGGCAAAAAAAAAACCTTAACCAAAAAAAGCTGAGCAGCGGCACGTGGTCCACCGCCCGCTCCAACGTTGAGAGACCGGTGGACCATACAGTTGTTTTAACGCTGTCGTTCTTCATGTGACAGCAAAACTTCGGGAGCACACCACTGCTCCCGTCCCGTCCCCTGCATTTCCCTTGGAATATGCGTCCCAACACATAAGTCCCAATTAACTTTTAACTCACGAAATTTCTCGTACTTAATTTTTATAAATCATTGTTACTATTATTATTAGGGAAAAAACTACCAAAAACCCCAAACTTTGCCATCTGTGACACATTTACCCCGAACTTTTTTTTAGACACCAAAAACTTTCTTTTTGTGACACATTTCGATGTATTTAGTCCATGGACATTTTCGTCTTTTTGCTTTTTCTTTTTTTTTTTTTTTTTTTCCTTCCGTGAGGGCGCTCGCCAACGTCGAGCGAGGCGGCCCTCGCCGATCCGCGAGGGCGGCCCTCGCCGGCGTCGGCGAGGTTCGCCCTCGCCCGGGCGAGCGAGGGCGGCCCTCGCCGGCGTCGGCGAGGGCGGCCCTCGCCGGCGTCGGGCGGCCCTCGCCCGAGATCGGGCGAGGGCGACCCTCGCTCGACGCCGGCAAGGGTCGCCCTCGCCCGATCTGGCGAGGCCGCCCTCGCCGGCGTCGGGGCGCCCTCGCTCGCCCAGCGAGGCGACCCTCGCCCGACAGCCGGCGAGGGTCGACCTCGTCGAGATCGGGCGAGGGCCGCCCTCGCTCGCCCAGCGAGGGCGGACCTTGCCGACGCCGGCGAGGGTCGCCTCGCCAGGCTCAGCGAGGTCGACCCTCGCCCGACAGCCGGCGAGGGTCGACCTCGCCCGACGCCGGCGAAGGTCGCCCTAGCCTGGGTGAGCGAGGGCGAACCTCGCCCGACGCCGGCGAGGGCAGCCCTCGCCCGACGCCGGCGAGGGCAGCCCTCGCGGAAAGGAAAAAAAAAGAAAAAAAAGAAAGAAAAAGCAAAAAAGACGAAAATGCCCATGGACTAAATACATTGGAGTAAATGTATCACAAAAAGCAAAGTTCGGAATTTTTTGTGTCACAAAAAAAAATTTGGGGTAAATGTGTCACAAATGGTAAAATTTGGGGTTTTTGGTGATTTTTTTCCTTATTATTATTAGTAGTAGTAGTAGTAGTATTATTATAACATAATAGTGACCCCCTACATCACGGCTTGATGATTGCCACCCCCGCTCCCCACGCATTTTCGTTCCCCGCGCACGTATAAAGTCAGCTCTCCTTTTGTCTCCTCCTTTTGATCTAAACCCAAGAAAGCAAAGCCCCCAAAAAACACAGGCAAGAAGAAGCTAAAACTCCCCGGCAAGCAAAAACCGAGCTCAGCGACAGCCGGCCATGGAGGAAGACGAGGCCGACACGCCGCCCTTCTGGCTCCAGACCTCCGGCAACCGGCGCCGGGCCCGCCGCGACTCGTCCGCCGCCCTCCCCCTCCTGCTCTTCCTCGCCGCCGCCGCCGTCGCCGTCGCCTTCGTCGTCTTCGTCGTCCCGCCCTTCCTCAGCCTCGCTTCCCAGATCTTCAGGCCCCGTTCGGTCAAGAAGGGGTGGGACACTATCAACGTCGTCCTCGTCCTCTTCGCCATCATCTGCGGGTTCCTCAGCAGATCCAACCACGGCGGAGACGAGGGGTCGTCGGGCTCGTACCCGAGGTCGGACTCGCGGAAGTCGCCGTCGTCGACGTCGAACCCGTCGACGCCGTACAAGTGGTACGACAGCTACGACCGTCGGAGCTCCGATCGGGGCGGATATGGGTTCTCCTCGAGTTCGTCTGGGGGGATGAGAAACAGCAGCTCGTACCCGGATCTGAGGGCGCAGGATTCGCCGTGGACTTACGGCGGAGGACCGCGGAGATTCTACGACGATACCCATCTTGTCGTGGGTCGGGGTTTCGGGTCGGAACCCGTCCATTCCAGGAGAAGATGGAACGAAGAAGAAGACGAAGAAGAGAAGAAGTTCGACATCAAGCGTGTAGTTGCCGATGATAGTCGCTATCGTAATGCTGCAGTCGACGAAATGGAAGTTCCAGTCACGCCTCCGCCGTCTGCTCCGCCGCCACTCCCGCCTCCCCCGCCGGAGACGCCGCCGCGAGCGCGGGCAGCTGGAAATAAACGGAAGCCGAAGAGAACGTATGAGACTGTTGCTCCCATGACTAAGGATGAGGTTGACAAACCGCCAGCAGCGCCGCCGGAGACACCGCCGCCTCCGCCGCGAGCGCGGGCGGCTGGAAATAAACGGAAGCCGAAGAGAACGTATGAGACTGTTGCTCCCATGACTAAGGATGAGGTTGACAAACGGCCGGCGACTCCGCCGGCGCCTCCGCCACCTCCCCCGCCGCCACCGCCCGTGATTCATCCGATGGAGGAGAAGAGTGGGAAAAAGAGAGGTGGATCGGCGACCAAGGAGTTCTTGGGCATGCTGAAGATAAAGAGGAAGAAGCAGAGACAAAAGAGCATCGAGAACTTCGAGTCCCTCCTCGCCTCCCAGCCACTGCCGTCGTCTTCCCGCCTTCCGCCCACGCCGCCGCCGCTACCGCCACCTCCTTCTGTGTTCCACGCTCTGTTCCCATCCAAAAAGGGTAAGACAAGGAAAGCTCTTCCGGCTCCGCCTCCTCCGCCGCCAGTTCCGCCGCCGCCGGCAGCTCAGCGCAAGACCAGGGAAAGACCAGCTGCATTTCCTCAGTCCACCGCAGATTTGATCACCATCAACAGATCTCACACTCCCGAGACAAAGAGACTAAACTCCGAGTCTTCGGATGACAGCACGAACAGCGGCGGCCTGTCGCCGTCGATCCCAATCCCTCTGCCTCCTCCGCCGCCGCCTTTCAAGGTGGCGCCATGGAAGTTTGCCGTGAGCGGCGACTACGTGAGGATCAAGAGCACGAACTCCTGGCGCCATGGTACGCCAGATACCGAGGACAATGAGGGCGACGATGAGGCCAGCGTCTCGGGGATGACTGAGAGCCCGTCGAATGCGTCGTCGGAAGCGACGTCGCCGGCGTTCTGTCCTAGCCCGGACGTGGACACGAAGGCCGACAGATTCATCGCGAGGTTCAGAGATGGGTTGACCCTGGAGAAGATGAACTCCATTAAGCAGAGAAGGTCCAATTTGGCGCCGGAAAGAACAGGATGAGAAACCAGGATGATTTTTGGCGACGGGGATGAGGTTTTGTTTAAGTATAAAGATTTGTTCTTTTTTTTTTTTCCCTGTTTGAGTTTTTGCTTATTTATTTGTTCATAGATGTGCAGATTGATTGACTGTTTTTGGAGTTGAGATTATAGTCGGGTCGAGTCGAGTCGAATAACGCACACAATGTTTATACACGTAGAAGATTGAATCATACACAGGGAAATTGAAATAAATTCTATCTTCCATAATTCCATATGTTCTCTCTCTGTCTCTTTCCCAAGCTTCTCTTTTTTCTCAAAAGAACAAGATCATCTCTATGCAAATGTGTATAGTCCATGAACGAGCTCGTAATGCGTCCTGAGCACGATTCTGTGAGCACCCGCAATCAATTTTCGCTTGCATGGACTAGGGATATGTGATTTGATGTGATGGTGCTTCTTGATACACGATTCGCCGGTTCCCTCTTCATGAATGCTGACAGCTCAGTGACCGAACATGATGCCATGAATGTGGTATTCAGTTTCACCAAAAGGAGAGAAAAGAGTTTCTGGGTAGGTTCTTGGATAAAGAAAGACGTAGGAATTGATTCGATTTTTGGCAGAGGCGACGAATGATGAACGTGCCCTTGTGCTGTTTTGGATTTTAGTTGTGTCTGCCCTGCAACTTGTGAACATCCACTCTGTTTTTTCTTCTTCCTCTTCTTTACATTTCGAGTTGCGGAGCTTGCTAGTGTTCAAATGGACCCGGGCTTTTCATATGCGCAAGCCCATCCATGATTAACAATTTGCAATCCTCATGATCTATGTAAGACATGGATTGAGTCTGTCATGCTTGGGTTGACCGCGAGCAGCCCAAACTGACAACATCAAACAAACATGATCAGGCAAACATAACTGTAAAAGGGTCATCTCCCCTTTTTAGGTAGTCAAACACAATTAAAGATGCTTCTCTTCACTTGAGAAAAGTCCTGATCCAAAGAACATGTAACTAAAATTTTCCGAGAACAATCAGGCAAACAATCTCACATGCTTACCATAATAACATGCTTAACAAGCTTATGTACGACGACAGTTTCGTAACAGAGTCTGTAATCAGCAGGCTTTTACTTTGACAAGCGCAGCAATTAAGTAGTTTTGAAGCAACACTAATATAGCCAAGGATGGCTTCCCATTGAAAACCAGCTGCTGTACTTTCTCCACTTACAAGCCAAATTCACATAGCTGTCGACTGTGATTGTTGTCCTGACTCATCTTTCACCTGGCAGAGAAAGATGGTGAATATCTCCACTATAATGAACGTCACAAGAAGGATCACACGTAGTCGTCACATGCCAAGGTTGACCAAAGAACCTGAATTTTGATACCGGTATGGCATCACTTCTGGTGATGGTTTGTGTCGTTTTGGAGCAAGAGGTGGTGGAGGCGGTGTCTCCGTGATCTTTCAGCCAACGCACCTCCAAATTCGGTAAATCACTGGCTGAAGACACGCTTCTGACATTTGATTCATCATTAAGAGTAGTAAATTTTGATTCTTTCTGATTCTTTGAGAGAAAACGCCCACCGGATCCTCTTGCCCTTCTTAATGCATGATGATGCCGAGATTCGTGAAGGTAAGGCTGCACGCATCATAATAGATCAGTTCTAAACTTTATTTCTTATGAGATATGTCTAGACCTAGATTTGGTGCATGAAATTGACGGGCTGGTGACGTTAAAGACATCCTGTTCAATTTCATTAAACCAACATCAGTCTAGAAGCTTGCACCAGTAAATAGAAGTGTAATCCAGGTGCCTTAACAGTTAACATTTCACCCTCGTGTATATGCTAGCTAGTATTAGCTCAACCAATGTAAATATTCAAATAAAAAAGCGTCCCAGTGCTCAAGGCTCCTGCAATGTGGAGGTAGATTCCTAACTTCTTGATTATGGAAGTTGAGGAAAGAAGTCATAGATTCGAACTAAGACGCAAGCTTCTACTTCGATACAATGTTAAATTCTGCGAGATCATCACATATCCATCTAGAAGTCAGCCAATAGAAGGAAAAGCCATTATCTTGTGCTTTTGCAAGTGTGTACCTTTCTATCCTTGATGAGCTTGTTTTCAGCCTCGAGCTTCGCACGGTACTGTCTTCTCCTGAGAATACCATGATACTGTTTTGCATTTACATAGATCGGTTCTTCTCGTGTCATGTCGAAGGGCAGAGGCAGTCGAGAAGGTATTGTTCCTGCCATTCGAGGGCAAGAGATCTGCCGACATTTCAGAGGCAAATAGCTTATGAGAGCGTTACAGAGAAGACACATGCTTGCCTCGCTGCAAGTTGGACTAATGGTGTTTATATAGAGTTCCATTTGAACACAGCGTAAAAATGACCGGACTCGATGTAAAAACCACCACAGTTGGAAAAACCACAGAGTGGAAACCATAAAGCATTTAAGTTAAAGAAAAGGTTGCTAAAAATAAACTGTGCAATATGCCTTCTATCTCGAGAAACTATACAAAAGAGGAAGTACCTACAAAAAGAATCATTAAATTAAAGAAAGCAGAGAGATAAGAGCAAAGGAGATGCAAAGTTAGAAGAAAAGGCAAAAAAATATGTATATAATATAACAATATGTGGCATAGGATTTCATAGACCCACTTTACAAATGCTAGGATTAGTTTTTTCAGCACACTCGTGATCAAATCGAATGGATGCTTTGGTGGTGCTACTTAATGAAAAGGATGGTCTATGTTATAAATTTGAGGAATAATATGACTGCACCATCAAGGAGGCCCTTCACTCAATGAACTCAAAAGAGAAGAGAGACGCAATATGGAAGGCAGAGGGAATATATGTTGCACTGGAAATAGCTGAACTGAACGAAGTCTCTCCTAGATGAAATTTTCGGTGGCTCTGTGATTCTTGTAGTTCCTCAGACTCTAATCCGTGTTATGCTTTTTGACATGTAAAGTATGGCAGAGAGTACAGAGATCAAGTAAAAAGTATGACCAACAGCATAACAGCGCTACATTTATGACATGGGCACAGTACAAATATTGCCATTTAGCTCTAGAAATGCAAAGCCAATTCTTTCTCATAGTCAATCAATGCACCATCTTTAATAACTACGCAGCAAAGTTTGGTTTTGTAGGAATGCATAACAGTGGGAAGTGCTAGTTGACTACTAGCATTAAAGGCAACAAGGCAAACATTGTAATGTAGGATTACAGTTGACACATTCCATAATGAGAGAAACCAATCTCCTCTCAAAACCCCAAGCACACATAAATACAGACTGTGTAAAAAGAATACGTTGTAATTAACAGTTGGAATATGATTGGTTTTCATCTGGACATGCTTTCTAGACTCACAATGACTTACTAATCAACGCCTTCAAAATTTAGAACTGCAAGCACTTTAAATCTGCCACACATGACCCCTGGCCCACCTCAATTCTGATGCCATTCAGTACCTATCGGCTTCTTGAAGTCAAGACTTATAGGAGCAGAGTTGTAGTTGGGAGTCTGACACTAAGTATTTGTGACATGGCAAAGTCAGTACTCAACTTGCGGTGAAAATAGACAATACACTAGTTAATTACACTGATCTGACCACACACTACAGTGTCCATCACGAGAATGCTAAATTTCACAGTTATTTAGTACAAGCACATTATAGTGCCAATGAGAATAAGTAGAAAGTTTGTGCACTCCATTTCCAGATTAACCGAACAGTTATCCATGTTTATCATTTGCACAGCTTTTAACTAGTCTAAAGTTTAAAAATTCTATTAGCAAAAAGAAAAAAAGTAAGCAGGAAGAGGTATAATGCATCGGCTACTAACCATAGCCTGTGGCCCGTAAGCAGCAGGCATAAAACCACCCAAGGATGGTTCAGCATGGTGGAGTGGGATGCACACCTGCATTGAGAACTTGTTATCCTCTGCCATGTAAACTTGCCCTGGCAAGCTAAGAAAATTTCAATTTAAAGTAGATTTCCTATAGTCAACCTCTAAAGGTTGGAAGATTAAATCCCGAGTTGCCATTGACAAGACTGATTTAGCTTGTCCTCTCACGGATTGCCCTTCAGTTTCGCCATGTTCTGAGCAAGAAGAGGAAGCAATATTTAGTTGAATCATTGCTGAGGAATTGCGTAGCTTTGAGTAGATTCAAATCATGCTACCCTGATACCAGCTCCAACAAAAGGTAATGGAAGAGGTTGACCACGCTTGGTTAAGGGTACTAGTAGCTAATTTCCTTGAGTTTATCGGAACAGTATCAACAATGCTTCATAAAATTCAGAAAGAAGATCCTAAAACTCTACTTCCCATACTTTGCTCTCCCGCATACGTGATATAAGCTTCCAACAAAACTGGCTGAAATCTGATAAAAAGGGAAGAGAAAACGAGGATATGGGGAAATGACCTGTCTGTTCTAAAATTGTGGCTTGGTTATATTCAGTACTTCCTCCTATATTAGGCACTTCATTGTATGATTGACCGGTTGATTGAGTAGAACACGAGTCCTGCTCTTGAAAATGAACATTCAATTGTTTGAAGCCATGAGAATGTTGCAATGGAACTCCCATCTTTATGCCTGAATCTTTTGGCATTGGTGCAAGTTCCAACTGTGATGTGGTGGAAGCCTCCCAAGATGGGCTACTAGCGACATACCAAGACATTGAATTGATAGAACTTATGTATCAATCGTGCTAACGAGTATAGTTGCTGAAATATCCACCAATTCTTGAAACGACAAAGCGAAAAGACATTTCTCCTGATCGTTGGTCCAACATCAGAATCCCACCGTCAAACTGAATGACCGCCAGAAAGGGTCATAATATCTGGAGTAGACAAATACTCTGAAAAACAGCAAAACTTGCAGCAAGAAACTAAGATAAAAAAAAAATGCGAGAAGTATGAGGCTTACTACACTTCCATTCATGAGAAGCTGATTTTCTAGAGCATAGACATTCCATCAAACATTAACTACTACAGAAGATTGTCTTCATGCATGAGCCCTTCAGAAAACTAAAAAAAACACTTCATGAACCTGATCCATCAAGACTACCCCTTCGACCTTTACAAAGAGTATCACAAGCAGTGAAAGGTCTTGGATCATCTCACAAGCCGGCAGGCAACAGCAAATATGATTCAAACCATGATTGATTACTCCGACAGAATACACCATTCCATTCAATCACAAAATAAAAAGGAAAAAGTTCACGAGAAAAAGCACGAAACGAACAATTGGGTCCATTCAGGCAAGTAAAGAGTACGTCATGAACCATAGAATTAGAACTCTCCATTAAACTCTTGAAGTCTCTGGAGCTTACCTTCCTCTCTCTAGACCCAGAACTCAAGTACGAAAAATATTCACCTGAGTTTTCAACAAGTCATGCTAAAATCCCTGTCACTCATCAAAGAGTCGCTGCTTTTTCTCTTGACCGATAAAAGGAAACTCATTGCACGTCTTAAAGGTTGTAATCCAGGAACAACATTTTCGGTACGTGCATTCTGAAGGCACAACTTATTCTCTCCTGACCAACATTGAAGAGGAAGACCGCATCGCCGAGACGACCTATGCTTGCAGATCGAAACTTTCAGTGCAGGACCATTGACCAGTGACTATTCTTACCTCCTCCTCCTCCTCCTCCTCCTCCTCTTCCTTCACCACGATGATGACCATCATCTCCTCCATTTTCAAGTTGTCGTTTTCAACAAATTGTCGTGTGTAAATTATTCATACCACGCTTTTTTTCCCGCTTTATATTTTTCTTTTCTAGTATATATTTTGAGAGATTTTCACTACAGTAATAATTATTATATTGTGTATATATATTCAGTTATGTTTTACCGATCAACATGTACTGGTAAAGTAATAGAGAAACAAAAATATCATTTTGCAGATAATGCGTTGAAGAAGAAAAAGGTATAATTTTGCGTCTCCATCATGATTTGTTTCATTATGCATGCATTATTAGCTATTTAAAATAAGTTGGAAAACGATCAGAAGGAGTTTTTGTATATTCAATTTATAAAAGATTAGGTATAAAATTTTGAGCTATCGTAAGCTGTGCATTCATAATTGTTTGATTTTCTTGGTCTGTGGTACGTGGTTGAAATTAAATTTACTTGATGATCGTTCGATTTTATGATCACTTTGGGTGCCCTTCAACTTTTGTGATTAAGAAAATAGTAGTTATCCCTTGAATTGGCTTAGCGGTTAGGGAATGGACGAGCGTGTGTGGATCAGCATATATTTGATTCTTCACGTCATGAAACCAAGCAATCTATGCTCGGAACTGACTGAGGCTTCCTTAGATCTCCCAAAGATCGACGGCTTGCTCACCTAGATAGTAGAGAAAGAAGGAAGAGAATGAGAGATCCCTTATTTATACAAGAGTCCCTCTCGTTACTACCGGAAGTGATTGCATCTCTTCATCTGCCAATTACCGGCGTTTACGGCGAGAATAGTCTAAAACTCGATACATTTACTGTATTATCCGTCCTTGAGGATATTTTAGAGGATAGGTGACTTGATCGGTCTTTTTGGATTGAACACGGTCATTTATTCATGGGAAATCTCGGGATCATGATACTTGCGTGTTACTTCATTTGAAACATCCGATAATCGGACGATTGTTCCAAATGTTACCTATCTAGGTAGGCTCCCTCGTCGTTTAGAAATTTGGCAATGAGTCACGCCGATCATGAGTAAAAAAAACCTGTCATTATCTTCCAAAAAGATGCTCCAGTGGCCACTATCATTCCAAATCATGCTTAGTGTGACAAGATTGGCTATAAGTCAAGCGTGTGTTCACTCCTATCAACATTTCTCGCATCTCACCTTCTACCACCTGCCCGCCACTTGAAAATTCGTACCGACTATGCCGCAAAATAATCAAACTTTCCATGATGATCTCATCACGTAATTTTATAATTGAAGTTTGGTAAGCCACCAATTAACTCCGATCTTGTCACGATGGGGACTCCTTTTGTACAATAAGATATTCAATTTTTTTTCAACTAAGCAATGCTGCTCAGCCTGTACTAGGAATAGTGCCGGCTGATGATGTGACCTCGTATCGATTACAGCTAGGATAAGATTGCATGCCAATGATGCGATCTACGTTATTCTACGTGAAAACGACACTTAATTTATGGTTGAATTACAATTTTTTTGTTTTAGGGCCACCTGGATATAAGTAGCAATTTAGCATCCTCACATCCAACGCCATCCTCGAGTTTTCAAAATCTACTATCACCATCTTGGTCTTTTATATTGGATTTCAAATTGCATCTTCTACCCACCCATTACATACCAAATTGCCACTTTTTTTCCCAAATTACCCCCACCCAAAATATCCCTACTATTTCTCTTCCGTCACCCAACACCTCATCTCCACTGCGTGTGCCGCCATCACTATTCCGGAGGCCGTTGCGATCATGGCCAACCTCAAATCTAAGGCCGGCAATGGTCATTGAGTCAGTTCAAGGCGACCTCAATCCGGTGGCCATGGCCACTCCGCAAGCTTCTGTTACAGAGCTAGCGTGGCTCATAAGCTCTCTTGCAGATGCTTGCAATGGCAGAGAGCGAGCTTGCACAAGCTGGGATGGGGACACAGGGGTGGGATGGGGACGGGGTGAGGGTGTCGGCGGAGCGACCGGGGTCGAGCTGTGGACGTGGGGTTGGCATCGGATAGCTCGGTGCTGTTGGGGCAGCCGACTTCGTGCTGTGTGAGGAAAGGCAAAAGATAGGAGAAAGGGTTTTAATGTAGATTTTGGATTTGAATGAGGAAAAATGAATCTTTTCAAATTGGTAAGATGTAAATTGTAGATTGAAGAAATTCGAGATGACATATAATATGAGAAGTGAGAAATGCCGATTGCAATTTTCCCTAAACCTATATACGGTGCTAGCCCACAGCCTGTAACCAGATCACATCAAACTTCATTGCCTTAACCAAATTCCACAAGTAGCTCTGATGTTTCCATCACCTGTTGCTTTCTCCGGTTCAAGAAACTAATGAAGTACTGCCAATAAAACAAATAATGGCAAAGACAAACAAAAGATCAAACATTTCTTGTAGTTGGTCTTGCCACAACCGGATCAAGAAGCGTGGAAAGTAAACGACAATCTCCGCTGAATATTTTCTCTGTAGATCAAGGGCTTTATTAAGGATATGTTTTATTTCATGGGACATTAACAACTCAAACAAAATTCGTTTATCACTTGGGAAATAGAGTTCATGAAACATGTTAATGAAAGGGACCAACTCACAATTGTTCCTACCTGCGCCTCAACTTCTACATGGTTGTGGTTGCAATTGATCTTTATAGAAGAGTTTCAGAGCAAATAATGTGAGAGAAACACTCCTTTAACACCTACAATAAATTTTCGAAAACCGTCACGTCTGAAAAGGTTCAACAAGTATGTCAAGTGAAAACCAAAGTCCCCATCAATTGAAACGCGCCACTATCTGATGGTATGAGAGGAACATACAATGGTCAGCCATGGAAATAAAGTTACAATTAGGGGGTCCCCATTGACGGCCAAGCTCTTAAACAAAAAGAACTTTCTTTCTTTCCCAAGTAGATCTATGAAGAAGGTTTATTCATGTGAGCAGAACTCCCAAGAATCTAAGTCGCCCGAATTATTTGTCAGTAGAAACCTCCAAGAACGCGAACCTTCAATGGGACTGGCTAAAAATCTCGTCCTTTATATGGCATGTCCTGAGAGAGGGGAGAAAAAGTGTCAACAACTCATATTGTATGCTCTTAACAAGCACAGCGGAAAGCACATATCATTCCCTATATCTTTAAAGCCTTAAGACAATTCTCTAGGGATTGTCTAATACAATAACATAATGTCATTAAGGAGATTTTCAACTTGCACTGACAATCAAACAAGATGCAGGTGGGGCATGAGTGCAGTATTGTTTGCAATCTCATTGTACTTGGTACTTTTTCTGTGGGTTATTTTAGAAAAAATGAAAAAACAATCACAACTTAGGCTCTGTTTGTTTCATGGAAAATGAAAAATTTTGGAAAATATTTTTTTAAAGACAATCACTGGTATCTCTTACAAAAATGAATTAATGAAAACTGCTTTTATCGTTTACGAAAATGTTTAGACATTAATTATTGATGATAATGAAAATATTTTCCATTGACTAAATATTTCAAACTATACCATCGACCATTTTTGGGAAAATAATTTCCAAATCATTCATTTTCTGTAGAACAAACGGAGCCTTAGCTATTACTTATATCCAAGACAGGTGGAACTTAATCAAATCATTTTACTATCTTTATCCTCTACTTAGTAAAACTCGGACAAATTGCAATGCATCTTACCGGTGGAAAGCCTGGCATGTAAGGCAACTGTCTTGGATGGGCAACAAGCATATGCTGTCCATACTGCAATTGAGTAACAGTGAAAATGCATACTATTAATTCAGGAATATAACAAATGTATAGCCTCCAATAAAAACTTGAGGAAAGCAAGAATAACCCGTACATGAGGACCATTTGGGTGTAAATATGCTTGTGGTGATTGCACAGGGGGAGCTTGTGCATTAAAAATTACGGGCTGATGTCCCACAAAAGGCCCCATCTGCAAATTATTAAAGCAAGCCAGCAATCAGGCAAAGATCAATAACATCAACAAGGAAAGAGAGAACAACTGAATAGACTGATGTAACTAGTAAGTATAATTCCAACTTGTGCATGGAACATAAAGCACATAATATATAGAGGTAAAAAAACAAAACTTACTCCAACTCCTACAGGCATGCTGTGCATTTGGGGCACCCCAGACATATTAGCTGGATAGTAGAAGGAGCTATCTGCAACTGGGGACAGAGGCCTAACAGGTGTCTGAGAAGGGACAAAACTCTTTGCATTGGGATTCAGCCTGAATTCCTGCCAATGAAAACATGATAAAATTCAGAAAACCCTCGTATCTCATCAGCAAAGTATGAAACCATCTCCATAAAAAGCAGCAAGGAAAACTAAAAGCAAATGGAAGTTTTCCAACCTTAGCATGGGGGTTCAAGTTGGATTTTTCAGAGGATAAGGATCCTACTGATGAACTAGGCGTCAACCCAGCACCAGCAGAAGCTGATGCAACACCAAGACGATCAGAAGTAGATGATGTAGAGCTACCAGGCCGTCCATGAGAATCCACGGACTGCGTTTCCCCATTTTTTGCCAAAGTAGGTGTCTCGAATAGATCACCACGAGAATTTATCTTATTATGATCCTTCAAGGCAACAGTAGAAGAAGCAGGAGCTGCAGCCTTGGACAATACACCCTTATGAGAAGAACCACTCTTTCCTTTCGACAATGAGATGGAATCTGAGCAAAAGAAAATAATATAACATAGTTCCATCAATAACAATTAAACGACAAAATAAAAATGGATGACCTTACTAGAACATAAATTCTTATTTCATCCTGTTTTATATTATCATATCAATAATTGTCAAAGTAAATAGGAAGATAGGAAAGAAAGTTGCAGCAGTCACCATCCACCGAGCAATTGCCTTTATTATCTTGCTTGAAATAAAAAAACTCATTTAAGAACTCCATTTATTGTTTTTTCCCTTTTCAGATATACTACGTAAGAACTTTACTCACCCTCAGCTTTTGATATCCCGGTGTCCTTTGCAGGCTGCATTTGCACAATTAGAGAAGTAGAAATGTTAACATCACTGAGAACTTGTTGAAGGCAATGACAGGGACCACATTCAAATTCCAATGAGGATGCATAGAGCTAAATGTTTCACTTACTGGCAGCTTCCCAGTGTCATCTAACTCAGTATGTCCTCTTTGTTCACTCAATGATCTCTCCTGTACCCTACATAAGTAATAAAAAAAAACATGACTGCTTGTGCAGTTCATTCCTAAGAAACAATAACAATGACATTTAAATTCCTTTATTCCCAATAGAAGTAATCTGCATGATAAGGACCTGTTATCATCATCCGATGCAAGAACACTTTTGCAGGTGAATTCAGATGGCAACCGAACAGCAAGATCAGCACCGGTCTGAGACAAATCAGCACCAACACTAGATTGAGAAGTTTCAGGCCCATCCTGCAATGTCATAGAAAAACGTGATTATGACAGGAAAAAGAAAAGAAAGACACCATAAAATCTTACAGAAAGCTGTAACAGAAGTGCTATTAGTTCAGAGATATTGAATGAGTAAAGAATAACTCAACCACATCGAACGATAGGGCTATCAGTAGAAACCAGTATAACAATGTCATACAGGAATGCAAACCACAAATATGTCCGTCTGTCATGGAGAATGACTTGAAATGGATTTAGAAAACTGAATTGGTTGAGGATGTAAACATGGCTTCAGTCATCCCAGAATTTGTCATTGCACGTGGTATTTACCAATGAAAAACCCTACTGGATGAGCTATGGACACAAGTGAACCAGAATAGCAATGCTGAATTAAAAAAAATTTAAGAAAGATCAAACACGGGGCATATGAAGCAGGATAGTACTGCCGGTCTACAGATTCCCCAACCAGGTACATTGTCTTTCTTATGCGAAAAAGCCACACGAGAATGATTTATATGCACTATATTAGAAGGAACCCCTGAAGGCAATAAAAGAATAAGGTCATCCGCATATGGCATATCATGCAACATAGAAACAATAAAATGTGGCAAAGGTACCGTGGATGAAGATCTTGCTGATACTTGAGTAGCATCAGTGTCTGTCCCATCAAGTGAACCAATCATGACAGAAGTAGGGTCACTGCCAAATGTTTCAGTATTCCATGAATCCAAACGAATATCCTCCTCCTCTCCATATCCACTATCATCAGCCACCCCACCTCTATAGACTGAAGAGAATCTCGTCTCCTCGTCAACATCAAAACTTTCGGGGAAACGAACTCCTCTTTCCTGCCGATCAGAAAACAAGTAAAACACTAACTCCAGGAAAATATATGAGAAACTTACAAACTAAAAGGCAGAAAACAATGAAAAAAGATGCTCACCTCTGCCAGATGAAGATCTTGAGTATCCTCGCCTTCTATTTCCTTCGCAATTCTTGAAGCCTCTCTCTCCAACTCTCGCATCTGAGGGCCTCTCTCGAGTTTAGTCGTGTAAAGATCCTCACTAAAGGTGCTTTTCACTCCAAATAAAGTTTCATTCACCTCAAACTGATCCCACCCTCTTAAAAATGACAAAAAGCGATTGGGCTAGTCAGTATATTTACAAAATCTCTTGGAATCTACATTCAGAACCTCCAAGACTTGATAAATAAGTAGATACACACCATGGTAACACACCCAAAACACCTAACAGATGAGAAATTGACAACTGCTATTCAACACAAAAGAGTCCAAGAAAGCTTGCCATTGAATTCAAACTAGTTTTATGAAATCACATGTCAGCCAGCAGAAAGAAAACAGGACAGTGTTTTCCAACATAACAAGCCCTAGTCCCTGCCCTTCTAATCCAAAATCGAGAATTCACAAGCAAAAAGAGGGGTTAGGCTTGAGTCAAAAGACACTACAATTTGTGGAACACATGAACTCTAATGGAGCTGCTGCCCACTAGCTTTAGGATAGCCAACTTTTTCAGCACCTACACAATGTTCTAACCCCAAAACCATTTCAACTCCTATGCCCAAATAAAGCATAAAATTTCCTTACACATGTGAAGTTGTGAACGAAAATGAGATATTAGGCAACACTTAGGCATGTCAAAGTGAACATAAAACGTGATTCATCATGCAATTATGCTTCAAAATTCTAAATAAATTAGGGAATGCATGCATGGATCCAAAAGCTAGCCCTTTTGGTGATAACACCAAGAGAACCTTCCACTAAATAAAGAAATACATTACAAAAGCCTATAAAGTGTTTTGAGTTCTGGTTTTCCTTCCACGATCATCTTATGACACTCCTAGCCAATGTGGAGTTAAGGAACAGTTAATTTTCTATCCTAACTAACAATTAGCATGCAAAGGTTGATAACAGGAATACAAAATACAACATTCTCCAAAGAGGTGAAAAATAACTGTCACAACCTATCCCATGGGGCATCGAAGACATTCTCAAGTTCAGGACACTGGGGATCATCTTCTTCAGGGATCCAAGGTTTTAATTCTCTCTCCAAATCACCATGACGCGCTTGTGATATATAGGAGTCGATCAAGATCTCCCGCTGTTTCTCAGATTGAACCTCATTTGACAGTCCATCCCCAGCTACAGAGAAGTCCTGGCATCGCCCATGAAGATGCTAAAATTAGATTCAGAAGTCAATCATCGCCTTCACTACTACACCAATTGAGACAGAATTTATTCCCTAGCATACACATAGCTATGCGTGACTTGCTTAACTATTTCAATTCATCAAGCTGCATATTTAAAAGGAGAATACAGCAAAAAGGGAATTGATAGTTACCTTCGCAATGACTTGGACAAGTTCTTTGGCAGGTATTACCAAAGTCTTTGTAAAAGCCTTGCTAAGGGACTCACTGTTAGCCCTATGCAACTGAACAGACCCATCTTTTATCATGCGAGCCATTTTCAAGATTATCCCTGGGAACAATGAATTAAATGTTTATAATCACAAGAATAGATCATTCACTTTAACCACATTAGCAATAAGAAAAACTTACCCATATCTTTATCGACATTTGCGGCATGATATATTCCAGAATATATGGATCCATTTTTCACCTGGACTTCCACATGATGACCTATTAGGCGTGTTGAGAAGTACACTAATCTATCACGGGATGGGCTTAAATTGCCTCCAGCTTTGCTGTCGGCCATGGAACCTACGACGATCGCCATTAGAGAAAGCCCATATGTAAATAATCCACACATATTTCGGAATATCATACCTGTGCTGCCAGTTTTGCTGATGCCAGATTTTCCAGAATGCAGCCTATTGTCCAGCCTCATTCCTCCTTCTCTTTCACCTTTACGACGGCCAATTCCATTAGCAGAAGACTTGGGATGTGCAAGTTGCTGGAAGTTCATCCTTGGCGGCAGAGTCTAGAAGATGGTAGAAGGTAGTAATACCATCCAAAAGCAATCAATAGATCTTTTGGCAGAACCCAATAAACAAAAGAAGGAAAAAAAAAAGATAAAGAAGTATGAAGTTCAGCCAAACATGCATAACATGTCCTCTAAAAAAATGTAGTAAGAACATGGCACATATGCAAGGTGACCAAAGAAACACTATTAACTTAGAAAGAAAGCAGTTAATCATAGGTAGGGAATCAAATGCAGTTAAAGAAAAAGGTTAGCCTCCACACTAATCAATCAACAAAAAGAAATACACGAATTGCAATATGATTGCAAGTCTTCAATGCAGAATCGCCACAAGCATTGCAACAATGCAGAGAACTGTTCTTGTACTTGTGGGCTCAAGATGCAGAAAACAACTTTGTATCAGAAAAACAGAAGCTATCTCAACCATATGACATGTAGCAGGTTTGTAAAAGCCCAAGCCTTGTGAAATGCACATTCCAAAATGGGGGACAAGGTATCACAATATCACAAGCAGGATAGTACCTTTCAGATCTTTTAGGAACAACCAAAACCAGAACCCACAAAATAAAAAAGCAACAGAAAAATCTCCCAGAAAAGGTAACATGTTCTTACTTCCCATGACTGCAAGGTCAAGGACAAAGAAACAGACTCGTAAGCATACCTCTTATTCAGGTGGCTAATATGCCAAAAAATTTGTCAACTGTCAAAAACATATACCAATTTGGTAGAATACATATGAGATAATGTTTCTTCTTCACAAATTAGTAGAAGAGGTCTATTAGATAATGGCTCCATTTTCAGATGAACTTCACAGAGAATAAATCTCGAGACTGAGTGTGGAAGAGCCTAAGGCACCAATTATGTCAGTTGTCCATTGCTAAAGTTTACTGTAATCAAATATTCTTCAGAGCCTTTTGATGAGGACCTAACAAAAAATTTGAAAGATACTATAAATTACAGTAAATAGAAGCTCCATTTGGCGGCCTCACCTTTCCCAGGTTGCAATCCTCTTAAAACACGCACCAAATGAGTCAAGTAAAGAGACGAAACCGATATGCCGAAAGCCCACTCTAGATCATGCATCACCATTGCTCCTCTCAAGGGTGAGAGCATGAACTAAAATGACTGCTTCCTTTCAAGGAAAGGAAGAAACTATGATACATGTTCTTCTACATTCTCCACGGAAGATGACTTTTTGAAATTCTTATTCCTCTCTAGGGCTAAACTAAGTCAAGAATAGTCCCTCACAATAGTCTACAATGAATATCCTAAGTTCACGTTCTGGTTTTCTGTTGGTTAGAAAACAATAGAAATAGAAAGCTTTTATAAGAAAGGTCTTATGGAGGCACTTAAAGTTAATATCGATCTTAAGGCAATCCACTAAAGGCAAGAAACTGATGGCTATCAAGGTCAACTTGGAGAAAGCTTACAAATGGGTATCTAGATAATTTCTTCAACAGGTTTTGTACGAGCTGGGAATCCCCCTATTCTATTCGTATAGTACTGATTTATTCTGGGATGTAAATAGTTTTATTGACCGTGGATTCCTTTTTGTAAATGATCTCTCTTTGCAGATAGGCCAGTAACCCCTACAACTACCTCAGTGTGAATTTTTCTAAAACCCAAAAGACGATCACGGATAAACTACTTGGAGAAATTCTTACACGGGCAATGACCAATCCAATAGTTTAAGAGATAAACAATGAACTTCGCCACTGTCCAATCACAAGTTTCCTAACAATAGCAATGATATTTAGAACGTTGATCTTCAAACATAACCAGAACTTACTCTGAGAGTACCACTGCTGATTTAGGAATTTTCCACTTTTAAAGAACAGTCAATATTAGTCAAAGCTCTATTTGTTCATGGACAAGTGCATCTGCAGGTATTGACTCGGTAACAAAACTAATATAGATAATGGCTTTATGATAACGATGACTAACCTTTGACTTGTGAAATATCTCGCCAATCACTGATATCGTTATCAACAATGGTAGCGGCAATATAAAATCATCCCACAAGACCCAAAGGACAACCACAGAAGGCAGAAGCCTCAGCGGACACCGCAGGTGGAAACAGACGTTGAGAAATAAAAAAACATCCAATGATGGGAACTATTGGATTACCATCTGCAATTACTGCCTGCGTTGGAGTAGCAAACAAAAACGATCAATGCACGCTTGCAGAGTCGGGAGGATAAAATCACGCTGCAGAAAGAAAGAAGGCGCGATGTATTAGGCGGTAGCCCACTCTATCAGCTGTAGAGATCACTTTAAGCTAACTGCATGAACAATCACTCGTACTTCCTCTGTATCGATCACAAACCGTTTCGAGCGTGAAGAGAGAGAGAGAGAGAGCTCGTGCGCATAGAGAATAGCTAACGCATCAAAAGCAGCCACAGATTCATTTCGTTTCAATCCCGCGCGAAATGCAGAACAAAAGCGAATGCACCAACGCGCACCTATCCACGTGAACAACCGAGCGAAAAGAGCAACTAAACCGTCAACTCGCGATTGCGGACACCGATCAGAATCACACCCCCCCCCCCCCCCCCCCTCCCTCCCTCCGAGCGAGCGACAAAACCCTAACCACCCCAGCACCCGAGCATCGAAAACGTCGCGGAACAACCAAAACAGCCACTGGCTCGCCCCTAAGCGAAGAGCTAAAACCAGTATTCCCCCCAAAGAAAAAGAGCCCTCGGAACCGCAAAATCCGTACCTGAACAGGCCTCGACCGGCGCCCGATTGCCGACGGAAAACGGGGCCCGGAACGAGGCAGGAGAGGGGGACCTTTCCCCGAGGCCGCGCAGGAAATCGAGGGTTAGGGCTTCCTCGAAGCAGGCGAGGGGAAGGCGACGACGGAACGGCGGATTGGGGGAAAGAGATCGAGATCGAGCGCGAGCTCGAGGTTGAAGACGGAGGGGAAGCCGATCGATCGATCGAGATCGAGAGAGAGAGAGACAGAGCGGGGGAGGGTGGTGGTAAATTGGCGACGAAATGATCTGCCGTTGCGCGAGACGAGAGAGAGAGAGAGAGAGACTGCGAGACGGCGTAGAATCTTACTTATATTTTTTTTCGCTATTATATGAACCGCCATGGATTTTTAGGTAGTGCATGATATCTATTCTAGTTCTGTCCAGAACTAATTTTTTATTCTCAGAAATAGCTTTAGACCAAAAATCTATTTGGTAACGCAATTCTATCTTTCTATTTTCGGAATAACTTTTTGTTCCAGAACCGATTCTGAACTTGAAATCAGAACAAAAAAAAAATAGGTTTTCTATTTCTAGACCAAAAATGAGAATCATTTACGAGAGAACTCTTTTTTCAAAACACATGTTCATCTGAAAGTCACGATCTTTAAGATGGGAAAAAAAAGCACAAAATCAAAAATTTCAAAACTTCACAAAATGATTTAGAATCTGTGGCTACCCATTTTGAGCTAAATTTAAATTTTTTTAGGTGCCGAAAAAAATAAATAAAATATCACAAAATCAAAAATTTCAAAACTTCACAAAATGGCTTAGAATGCCTATGGCCACCCACTTTGAGCGAAATTTAATTTCTTTTAGATGCCAAAAAAATAAAAAATAAAAAAATCTAAAATTTAAAAACTTCACAAAATGTCTTAGAATACCTGTGGCCACCCAATTTGAGTGAAATTTAATTTTTTTTAGGTGCCGAAAAAATTTTAAAAAAGCAAAAAATAAAAAATTTCAAAACTTCACAGAATGGCTTAGAATACCTGTGGCCATCTACTTTGAGCGAAATTTAAATTTTTTTATGTGCTGAAAAAAATAAAAAAATAAAAAATTTCAAAACTTCACAGAATGGCTTAGAATACCTGTGGCCACCCACTTTGAACGAAATTTAATTTTTTTTAGATGCAAAAAAAAATAAAAATAAGCAAAAAAGCAAAAATTTCAAAATTTCACAGAATGGCTTAAAATACCTGTGGCCACCCACTTTGAGCGAAATTTTATTTTTTTTAGGTGCCTAAAAAAATCAAAAAAATCAAAAAATCAAAAATTTTAAAACTTCACAGAATGGCTTCAAATACCTGTGGCCATCCACTTTGAGCAAAATTTAAATTTTTTTAGGTGCCGAAAAAAATAAAAAAAATAAAAAATTTGAAAACTTCACAGAATTGCTTAGAATACCTGTGGCCACCCAGTTTGAGCAAATTTTAAGTTTTTTTAGGTGCCGAAAAAAAATAAAAATAAGCAAAAAAGCAAAAAATTCAAAACTTCACAGAATGGCTTAGAATACCTGTGGCCACCAACTTTGAATGAAATTTTATTTTTTTTAGGTACCGAAAAAAAGGAAAAAAAGCAAAAAATCAAAAATTTCAAAACTTCACAGAATGGCTTAGAATACATATAGCCATCCACTTTGAGTGAAATTTAATTTTCTTTAGGTGCCGAAAAAAAATCAAAAAATAAAAAAAACAAAAATACCATTTGGGCACCTAAAAAAAATTAAATTTCATTCAAAGTGGGTGGCTAGAGGCATTCTAAGTCATTCTGTGAAATTTTAAAATTTTTGATTTTTTTATGTTTTTATTTTTTTTCGGCACCTAAAAAAATTTAAATTTCACTCAAAATGGGTGGCCATAGATATTCTAAGTCATTCTGTGAAGTTTTGAAATTTTTGACTTTTTGCTTTTTTTTTCACCTCAAAAAATTAAAATTTCACTCAAAGTGAGTGACCACAGGTATTCTAAGCTATTCTGTGAAGTTTTGAAATTTTTGAGTTTTTGAATTTTTTTGGGCAACTTAAAAAATTTAAAATTCACTCAAAGTGGGTGGCCACATGTATTCTAAACTATTCTGTGAAGTTTTGAAATTTTTTATTTTTTGATTTTTTTTGGGCACCTAAAAAAATTAAAATTTCACTAAAAGTCGATGGCTACAGGTATTTTAAGCCATTCTATGAAGTTTTGAAATTTTTGATTTTTTGATTTTTTTTGAAAAAATTCAACAAATTTCCTATTTTCCCGAAATCTGAATTTTTTTATTTTTTGGAAATTGTGATGAATTTTTCTAGAATTTTTCAATTTTTTTGGATTTTTTGAATTTTTTTGAGATTTTTAGGAATTTTTTGGATTTTCTAATTATTTTTATTCCATTTCTAAAAAAATGGATTTCTGTTCATGGAAATAGAATTTTGTGTTGTTTATCAAACGGGTTTTTGTTTCGGAAAATATAAATTTTGTGCTGTTATCAAACGGGTTTCTGTTACAGAAATAGAAATTTTTTGTCATTATCAAACGGGTTTCTTTTCTCAGAAACTCATCCTGGAACCAGAAATAGAAAAATCTATTTCTGTTTCAGGAACTCATTCTGGAATAGAATGGTTATCATTCTGGAACTCATTATCAAACGCGAATCACTCTTTTTTTTTTCCATCCTTTTTCAATTTCGCGAATCGAAATTATCTTGCGCGTCCCGGAATTTGAAAAAAGAATGAGGGTTGGCTTTAACGGAAAAGATAGTGTATTTTCTCTTCTTGCAGTTTTGAGTTTGAGTCTTGTTAAGGATACTCGATGGCTGAAATCTTAATCGCATTAAACCGATGTGAAGAAATATGCTCATAAAGAGTATATGGTTGAAAGTCTTGCAAATTGATTTGAGATTTTCGTATAATTTAAATTTTTCATTTTTATTTTGTTTTCGGCTTTTAAGTTGAGAGAAAATAAAAGGCAAAGTGAGGAGAAAAATTGGCAAGGAGATGGTAAGTAGACGAAAGAGAAAGAAAAGGAGATAAAGTGGGGTTTACAATGACTCCTTTGATGCTTATGGAAAGAAAAAGAAATGTCAGAAAAATCTAATGAATATTCTTGATTCGGTCAAGTTCTAAGAAAATCAAATAGAATTTAGAAATTGATGTGAGACTGCTTTTGGTAACTATCCTGTAACTAGAATATCTAAAATGTTACCTAAAATATCCTTATCCATTTAATTAATTTTATAAACTAAGTTTCATGAAATCCCATTTTCATTTTTCAACCACATGGTTCATCGAGCTTAATCGTGGTTTTATCGTTTCTTCCTATTTGCAAACTACATCTTTTCTTTCCAGTCTAGTGTTAGCTCGTGCCTAATTACTTTTACTCAAAAAACGCGTCAGTCACATGCACCTCTCGCAAAGCTTCGCTATCGGTTGATTTCTTTCGTCTTTGTCATTCAAACACCTTGCCCGATTATGCGAGAGTTAACTTCGTTTTATCATTTGAATTTATTTCTAATTTATGGAATTATGTTTACACCACCACCATCGATTTGTAAAGCTAAAAGCACAAGGAAAAAATTATGACAAGAAGGCATTTTGCGTGAAATGAAATATCAGGAGAGTCACCAAATTCCTGAATCAATTCTCGTAAAAAGTATAGAGATTTGGCATAGCATGTACCCATCGTGGAAGTAAAAATTGAATTTTCCCTATCTGACCACTAAAATCGAAAAAATAAATATAAAAAATAATAAAACCTTCATTTTTCTTTAATTAAAAACGACAGTTCTTTGCCCGTCGTTTGTGCCACCCTTTCTTGATTTTCTTTATTGGATGCTGCTTTTGTCCTTGCGGATGAAAGATAATATTCAATATGCATGTTGGGCTAGCGATAAAAATAAGAAAGTCATAGCTATTTTCGCAAAATTCCACGGGGATCATTAAACAAATGGTCCATGAATTTTGACCCAATATACAATATCATTTCTAAACTTTTAATTTATTCAATATGGTCCCTAAACGTTAACTCAATGTGCAACGTTGTCCCTGAACTTTTAGTTTGTTCGATGAAACCCCTAAACTATATGAAAATGTTAAGTGTTATTCACGAACTTGAATTAATGGAATGACAACATTGAACATGTACTAAAATTTTAGGGATCACATTAGAATAAATTAAAAGTTCAGGAATGACACTGCATACTGGACTAAAATTCAAGTAGCATACTGTACAAATTAAAACTTCATAGATGGCATTGCAGTTCAAAATTCAAAAATTATTTATATCATTTTGCCATTTCACGACTTTTTTTATTTTCCTCGTGTAATTTTGCGTCTTTCCAAATGGAATAGCGGTTGTAAAATTATTTTGCCTAAATAGGTAAAATTAAGGATTGAGTATCTTCTGGCACCGTGCAGTCTAGCATTGATTGCTTGGTTCGATGGGTGTCGAGTCATCTTTATAGTTGTGTTTCGATTTATCATTATTTAAGACGTAATCTGTTTCGTGCATCGACTTTTTTAGTCAAATGGTTTGGCACGGTTCAAATCCCATTATGAATCGCGTTGACTTCAGGTGAAACTTAAACGCACTCATTCGATTGTGCTGGAGTTTGGCAAACGAGGAGGATGACTTGCAGTTTTCCTAAACTTGAGAAGAGGCACCAGAGAGCTCGTCATGAAATTGGCTAGTCACGAACTAAGCCTCTCAGCGCCGTCCAATTTGTTGTGAACGGAAAGGAAAATCTTCAATGGATGTCCTGTTGATTGGAAAAACATTGATGTAGCCTTTAGAAATATTGGGAAACAATTTCTCGATAATAATATGATGAGATGATGAAATTTGCACAATTGAAAAGTTAAGGATTAAATTGACAAGACGTAAAAATATTTCTGACTAAATTGGTATCGATGAAAAGTTTGAGACTAAATTAGTAGTCGTGTAATAGTTTTACGACTTTGTTGGACAATTATCCCCATGAAAAAGCATATATGTCAACTCATGCAAATGTTCATTAATCATACATCCATTCTCGTGATCTCCTGGTAGTTGATTTGAATATTCACATTAGGATTAGCCCAAACGAATTGAGTCCAAGGATAGAGCAAAAGATGTGCTCAATTGTCTCCTTCTCTCGTTGTCATAGGGGGGCATAACGGTCAAATATAATATCCCTTTTCCATAGATTCTCTTTTAAAGGGATTGCATTAGTACAAAGCGACCATAGAAAGACTTCTACCTTAAGCAAACTTTGCATGTCCAAATAGCTCTCCAAAGTGTTTTGGGAATTTGGTACGAAGAGGAAGTTTGTTCGGTGTTGCGCTTTTGTTCAATCTCTCTTCTGATTATGTTGTAGCCATTTTTAATAGTATAGCTGCCTGATTTACTACCTAACCATACTAATTTATCTTGAGCGCAAGAAGGTCTAATTGGAATTGTTTGAATTTGTTGCGCTAACTAACTGATCATAAAAAAGGTTCTCTATTTTTTGTATTCCACTTTCCTTCCTTAGCTAAGATCTATTTTTACTGAATTTCCATTCCCAATCGACCACGTGAGAAAATTGTCAATAGAATCCCTTCCTAATAACAAACTCTGCTGTCCCCAAGAAAGTCTGGAACCTCTCTTGGCTTGCCAAAAATCTCCCCAATGAAAATGAATACCTTGGAATAGCTTGCCTCGGATGGAATCAAGGTTCTGCGAGAGTCCCCATGCTTGTTTACTAAGCATAGCCTTATTAACTGAAATAAGATCTCTAAACCTCATTTCCCCTTTGTCCTTCCTCAGCTTTAGGATGTCCCATTTTTTTCAACGAAGTCCTATTTTGGAATCAGTAGATTTCCACCAAAAGTTTGCAATCCTTCTCTCAATAGCTTTGCAAACAGATACGGGTATTTTGAAGATCGACATAGCATAGTCGGGAAGGGCTTATGCCACTGTTTTCAGAAGAATGTCCTTTCCAGCTTTAGAAAACAATTGGTCCTTCTAACCTTATAATTTAACATTTACTCTTCCAAGAATCCAGGCGAACATATTCCTCTTTTGACGTGCCCCAATCCGAGGGTATACCTAAGTATTTGCCAGCGTGGCCAATCTCAGGTTCCCTCAACTCCTTCACCATGTTTTCTCGTAGTAAATGAGGACACCCCTTACCGAAATAAATTCCCGACTCGTTGAAATCATTGGCTTGACCCAAGGCATAATAATATTGATCGAGTATCGGTGAATAATTCTGGCATTCCGGCAAGTTTCATCCAATAAAAAAGATGGAGCCAATCAGCAAGCAGAAGGCGCGCGATAGGGCCGGGCTGAATCTATTCAGTTTGATGCCCTTGATGCAAATGTTCGACCCCCCCAAAAAAAAGAAAATTCATGCAAATGTAATTTCCATTATCACGACTAAATAGATTTCACATGAATTCCGTGGGCAAATTCCCCAGAGCGCCCCTCATTTTCATCAATCGACAGTCATCAGCATCCAAAATCTCTCTACACACACCCCACTCTCTCTCTATCTCTAGAATAAAAACCCTATTCAAAAACCCTCGCCCTCGCTCGCAAAAGCGCTTCTCTCCTCCAAAAAGCCGTTCGCTCACAGCCCCCCCCCCCCCCCAACCCCCCACGCCCATTTTCAATGCGACCTCTCGCTCCTCTCTCCACCTCTCTCTCCTAGGGTTTTTGCCGTCTCCCCTCCGCCCCCCCTCCTCCACCGTCCTCCGCCAGCGAGCCCCGCCCGTTCCGTCCCCCTCCCTCCCCTCCCCTCCCCTCCGCGTCGTCCGTTCTTGATTCCCGACATCGGCCGAGCGCTTGAGATGGTCACTGCTTCCAAGGTCGAAGGCGGCGGCGGCGGCGGCGGCGGCACTCAGGTACTCTCGGCTCGCGTCCTCAGCACCATCCGGACGATCAAGGAGATCGTCAAGAACCACTCCGATGCCGACATCTACGCCGCCCTCAAGGAGAGCAACATGGATCCTAACGAGACCGCCCAGAAATTGCTCACTCAAGGTCCGTCCCGGCGTTGCGCCCCTTCCTCCGCCGCATTGCCCCTGTCCTTTTAGGTTTCGTGGCGTGCTCGAGTCTTGTTTCGATGATTTGGTGCGGCAGGAGTTTGAGTTCTTGACTGTGAGTTTGACTTGAGGTGTGGAGCATTGACTTTGATTTTTTTTTTCTTTTTTGGGTACTGGTAGCAGTCAATCTAAAAGGTGGGCAGAGAGTGCTTAAATGTGGTTTTGATCGCGAGTCTTAGCTCGTAAGATTTACCTTGTTAATCTCTGAATTGGTATCCTGGCCATTTTACTTCCTCTTGGTATTCACCCGTCAACGATGCTGTTCTTTTTTTTTTTACCTTCTGGTGAAGTGATTGCTTTGCCTTTAGATGCGTGAGATGAGGTGCTTGTGATTGCAAACTTTATTTGAAACTGGTTCGAGGTAATGCCATGAGCTGGAGACTTGGGGATCGTGTTATTCTGTTTGGTATTGATTAATTTTACCGCACAGATATATTCAAAGCACAGTAGAGGCTATTGAGGGAATCTAGCAAACTAAGCAATGGAAATCCCCGTAGTACAACAAATAAGCATTCCACTCATCCATTAATGTGCACAAAATTCTGCAGACGCAGTTGCTTTGCTTTGAAGGAAGGTTTGAAAAGGGCCATTGAAATTTAAAACCACGTTTGTGGATGTTAACAACTGCATATCTAATGGATGAGGTGGGGGGGGGGGGGGATGCTTTCTATCTTAGAAAACATTCTGGAATGAGTTAATGATGGAATAGCTTAGGGACTTCTGTCATGAGTGATAGGACACGAGTGTTTTGCGTGTTCGTGGGTTTGTTTCATTTCTTATCCTCTGGGTTCCAACAGCATGTTCAAAGCATCACTCTAGTGTTGCTCAGACAGCGACTGATTGTTGCTTCATGGCACTGAATAAGTATAGATATGCTTATGATGAGTTAGAAACTGTTGGTCAGATAATTGGATGCCAGTAGCATATCTTTTAACTGGCATTGAGTTCTTATAGACATATCTGTGTAATTTAAAAACTGTTGATCTATGAAATGGGGTGCGAGTTGCATATTTCAACTGATTTGGTTATCTTTTGATTGCTTTACTCCTTTTGATGTGGTATGGTCGTTTTTCTTTTAATGTTTGAACCTCCCAGTTTTGATTTCTTGATTTTTTTAGCTTTTCTCGACATATTCTTTAGACTGCAACAACCGTGCAATGCTGATGCTAGGGATCTTGTTTTTTTTTTTTTTTTTTTTTATGCAGATCCATTTCATGAGGTGAAGAGAAGAAGGGATAGGAAGAAGGAGGTAATGGTCATATAGCCTTTCCTTTTTATGGCTACTCTGGTTAGCAGATTATCTCCCTTCAAGGGCAGTTTTCCAGAGTCATATTTAGGTTAATCGCCAAACATATAACAGCTGAGAAAATGAGGCTGGAGGAACTATATGCGGAGGGAACATTATATCTATCTATCGTGCCTCTTCTTGTGATTGTTTTGATATGGGCTGGGAAGACTTGAACAAAAAAAATGTATCCTGTCCAGTTACTTAAATTGACTGGACAGATATTTCTTGTCTGTCTCACGTGTGTACTTTTGGTAATATATCTTGGACTTTATTCCTAATGGGGACATGCTCGATGCTAACTATGCAGTTTGTACAATTTTCAAGAAAATGGTGTGTGATCTGTACATTTTAGCTTTTCCCTGATATTTATGGAAATGAACTTTGGTGGGAATCATGTCGCATAAGCATTTTGTAATTCTGCATTTCAGTGGGATGGTTGACTTAATGGATGGCATTGTTGGAGCCTTGAGAGCATACAGATGCCTCCGTAGTGTCCATACTTGTCTCGGTTTTTCAAGATGCCAGAGAAACATATTTTTGTAAATAAAACATTTTGAGGTCATCACGTTCTTTGGTGACCTTTGACGACCAGATAGCTTTTTTTTACTTTCCCTTTTCCTCCTTTTGCCTGTTAGTGAGTTTTGGTGCTCTTGGACTTTGCGTTGATAAGTTATGCATTTGGTCTCAGAGTACAGCACAGACAAGTTCTACCGATCAAAGAAAACATTTCGAAAATGTCGGACAGGGTAGGAAGTTCTCTGCACCAGTTGATCATGGCATTCGAAAAGGCTATACCCGGAACGCTTTGCCCAGTAATTCTGGACAGGCAAGGAAGTCTTTACCTGGTAACGGAAGTATGTGAAAACTTTTTGTCTTCATTATAGTTGGTGCTTTCATTGTTTGAATACATTCTCTTGGACCAGCCATCACAATATGGAGGCTGTTCTCCTTTTAATATGAAATATGACGGGGACTATTGACACATGGATTTGGTTATTTAGTTCTAGACATCAAGTCACGAATTCAAATGTCTGTTTCCTTTAATCTGTTTGGCTGATGGACAAATTCACTTGATGCAGCAAGAAGCAAAGAGTTTCGTGTCGTGCGGGACAACAGAGTTAATCACAGTGCAAATGGGGAAATGAGGGCTGCCTCCCAGGAGGAACATCCACAACCCTCCACAGACCCAATATCATCAACTTCTGATAGAGGGTAGGCTGACTAAATCATTCTGTTAGTCTACTCATTGTGTTGCTTTGCGTATCTAATTCTCAATAGCATATGATATTGTGAACAAAAATCCCTTATCTTCCTGGCCGATGACTTAATGTCCTCTATTAAAAGATTATTTTCCTATGTTAATTCTTTGGACAATTTTGTACTGAACATAGAAATATCAATGGTCTTTGGTTGCCTTTTGCACAGATTGAAGGGAAGTTCATCTATTCTAAAGCCGTTGGGTGGGCAGAGTCATTCTCCAGCTTTTAAAGTTGCTGGCTCGCTAGATCGACGAGCCTTACCAGCCAATTCAAGTGGCACTTTGGGGAAGGAAACATTAGAGCAAGAAAGGGTTACTGATTCGAGCGCAGTTTCGCGGGTACAAGCCGCGAAACCAACCAAATCCCAGTCTCATTCTACAAGTTTAGCGTCAACCAATTCTGTGGTGGGGCTTTATTCATCTTCAACAGACCCTGTTCATGTTCCCTCTCCTGATTCCAGGTCATCTTCTGTGGTTGGGGCTATTAAGCGTGAAGTTGGGGTTGTAGGTGTGCGGCGACAGTCTTCTGAGGATTCTGTCAAGCATTTATCAGAACCAGGTGTTTCTTTCTCTAATTCTCCATTGAGAAGGAACTATACTCCTTCAGAATCCTTTCAGCCTTTGACTGCTGTCTCTAAGACTGACCAACTTGGTCAGACTGCTGTGAGTCAGTCTGCTTCAGCCTCAACATCAAGCATCCGATCATCCATAAGCAATCAGTTCAGTGGCAAGCCACATCAAGCTGTGGGCCATCAGAAAGGTATATGATCTCTTTTGCTGTAATTTTTGGGAACCTTTTCTTTGGATGATTGTCTTGTCATCTTTTAAGTAAATCAGTGAATGGCCAGTCATCAGCGATGTTTTAATCTCAGTGATGCGTGTTATTTACTAGCGGGCCACCCGCTTGTTTTCGTGGGGAGAATTCTATCATGTATAAATTTTGGGTATGTGATTGGAATAGACCCAATTAATGTATATGAAGTGCAAGTCTGATTGCTTAATTCACTTATCCAGTAATGACTATCTATTGAAGATCCTATATGAGCTTTACTCAAATGGATTACTTAGGTTGACCTTGAAAGTTGATTTATGCTGATTTGATTGACACAAATTTTATACCAAAACTATTGGAATTCACTATTTCTTGTCAGGATCAAGTCGCATTCTTTGATCAGGTTGTCATGTTGTGTCATACCCAAAAATTGTCACTCATACTTCCCTTAAAGAATTTATTTAAACTCATTCCATACCACCTATGTGAATCTGAAACTAACCCCTGCACCTGATTCGTCCTCTCGAAACGGGTTTTCCTGTGATTATTTCTTTGAATTTATGGACAGACGGGGAAGATGGAACCGCTAGATGTGATATACCAAAAAAGAGGTAGGGAGGCCTTCTGCCGAGACCATTATGTTGTGCTATGTATTGCCTCATACATCCCTTACGGAAGTTTACTATAAATGCAGAAGTACACAGATAGAGTTATGATTTCATCGCGGGATCAAATGTGTTTCTCTTGCTGTATCATGTCATGTTGAGATTTACAACTCATGATGAAGCAAGGAGGTTGATTTAAAATGAACTAACTTGTTTAAATAGTTATAATTAAGTCGCTTATTTTGTGAAACATAATTGCAGCGGCTCTTTTGCCAACTTATTGTATGTTGCGGCATTTTGTCAACTGTGTATCGCGTGTGAATGATTTGGTCGGGGGAGTGCACCTCCTCGTTTCCTTATTTTATCTTTATTTGTTTAAAAGCAAATAAACAACTGCTGGAATCTCGATCCATTCTTCAGCAGAGGACTAATGTGAGATGTTTATGCAGTTTCCCAGCCAATTAAGGAATGGAAACCAAAGTCCAGCCAGAGGCCAAGCAATAGTAATCCAGGGATAATTGGAACACCTCCGAAATCTGCTGCTCCTACTGATAAGAATTTTAAAAGAGTTGATTCACAAGTAGCTAACATGCCAGAAAAGTTCGCACGTCTTAACATTCACGAGGCGCAGAATGTAATCATCGCTCAGCATATAAGAGTCCTGGATGCTGATCGCTGTCAGCTGACTTTTGGCAGCTTTGGTGTCGACTTTGATACATCTAGGAATTCTGCTCCGGGAGGTGCTAGAGAAGAATTAAATGGGGAGTCAGCTGCAAGGTTGGTCAAATTTAGTTTAGCGGCTCTTTTATCTTCAAATGTTTGGCTGGGTGAGGTATTCAAGAATCAAGTTTGGATTTATGAAACTTGCAATAGTTATACACCCATCATTTCTAAAAGCAGTTGTACTTCTGGGCTGTTTGGTTTTAATCATTATCTTGTCCATGTGCATGACTAGAATCAGAAAATTAGAGTTTATGAAATTTTGGTAGATGGTACTCCTGACGGACATGCCCTTGCACTTTTCCCTTTCCTGGAGAAATGAATTTGCATTGTAAAATCGAGTTAATCATGTTTCATTCATTAAAAAAAAAGTGGATAGATTAGCTCTTTGATTAGTTGTTGTCTGATTAGTTTGCTGATGGCAGTTTGTCAGAATCGGCCCCGGCATCTTCTAGCGGTACTTCTGAATTCAAACAGGTGGACATGGTTGAGGAGCGTGTTAGAAAATCGAGATCAAATTCTCCAACGTCACCTGGAACTTCTGATAATCAGCTGACAGACAAAGAAGAAGCAGATGCTCAGGATTTAGACAGATTTAATGCCATTGGATTGGTCACAGATCACTCCCGAGTCAATGCCCCTTCAGAGTCGCAACAGCAGCAAGATCCTCCTGAACTTCCCAGCTTTTCAGTGAGTGCCGGTTGATGAATCGAGTTTTCCTTTGTCTAATTTGTCAAAAATTTCTGGTGGGAGTGCCCTGATGCTTCTTTTTGATTGTGGGTATTCTCTTTTCTTAGCATTATGGTGCCTTTTATTACGCAGGCTTATGATCCTCGGGCTGGGTACGACATTGCATACTTCAGAACCACTATGGAGGAAGCTGTCCGTGGACAGGGCCTACCATCTCCTCAAGAGGTCAATCTGCTCATCATGTTTCTATGTTTAAATCGCATGCATTCTTTTGCCATAGACTCGCTGGGACACCTAGTTTTCTTCGGGATGCCACAAATACTATTCCCTGCATTTAGTAATGAAGTTTTTTTCCCATTCGATTGCCGTTAATTTTCTATCTTTTTTGGATCGGGAAGGCTCATTATGTTAGGAGCAGTAAGGGGCTCTAAAATGTGTAAAATTCAAGTTTTCAAAACTTGCATATTGTGCTAACAATAAATAAGGAGATGTCATCACTCTGTATCTTCCTTAGCTATCTGTAGATTATTTCGATATGTTTGCTGGATGCTGATTGGAATTACTTATATTGGTATTTATAGGCCTTAAGTTCACACGCCGCTAACAGCATGCCGGTATCAACAGTAGCCATGGGAGGACAGCAGCAACACCAGCAACCACCACCAGTGGCTCAAATGTACCCCCAAGTTCACGTTTCCCATTTTCCAAACCTAATGTCATATCGACAGTTTCTCCCGCCTGTTTATGTTCCCCCTATGGCCATGCCTGGCTACTCTAGCAACCCTGCATATCCTCATCCATCTAGTGGCAACAGTTACATGTTGATGCCTGGAGGTGCTTCTCATCTTAACACAGGTGGCCTCAAATATGGAGTTCAACAGTTTAAGCCTGTTCCAGCTGGCAGTCCTACAGGTTTTGGCAATTTCGCTAGTCCTGCAGGGTATGCTGTGAATACTCCTGGCGTTGTAGGGAGTGCAACTGGGCTTGATGATTCATCCCGAATGAAATATAAGGATAACAATCTGTATGTTCCAACTCCACAGGTAAACTTTCATAATCTTCCTGGTGGCTACTGCATGGTAGCTTATGGTTTTAAGAGGTTCAGTTATGGCAATGGTGACAATAGATGGTGAAAAATGCCAGTAGCTGAAAAGTCACTGAACTTTAAGTTCCAATCATTTTGTTGACGGAAGCAAGTTTATGAGTCGAGTTTCACTTCTCGGAAAATGTCGTATCTGGTGTTATACTATGATTTTTATGTTGGTCCTGATCTTCTCGGATTTTACTGAACTCTGATTCTGGAACTCTTTAGAAATAGTAAAATCCTGTACTTAGGAATTTTTGCTAGTCATTGGTTAGGATTGAGGATGAAAATCTTGATTTGGATTTCTAATCGTAAATCTGGCCTTCTTTTATGATTATTTATGAAATCAACAACTTGGGCAGATGCAACGTTTGGGTGACTAACTGGAACTTTTTGTTTCCCAGTTTACTGATAGTCATGATACTCCCTTTGATTGTAGCCATTTGGTCACTGTCACTGACATGTCTTTGTGATCTTTTCTATATTGTAGGCCGAGACATCTGAAATGTGGATGCAGAACCCTAGAGAAATCCCAGGAATGCAGTCCCCCTACTACAATATGACGGGGCAAACACCCCATGCCGCATATTTGCCGTCCCACACTGGGCATGCTTCCTTCAATGCAGCTGCTGCGCAATCTTCGCACATGCAATTCTCGGGCTTGTACCACCCGTCTCCGCAAGCCGCCGCAATTGCGAATCCACACCATTTGAGCCCATCTATAGGGGCGAGCCTGGGAGTGGGGGTGGCTGCGCCTGCTCCTGTGGCTCAAGTCGGCGCTTATCAGCAACCACAATTGGGGCATCTTAATTGGACGACGAACTTCTGAAAGGAAATGTTAATCTGACCCTCTGCTTGCGAGCAATGGAAGTGGCCTTTGCAAAGTTTCGAGTATTTTTATCAAACGAATAACATCTGTAATCAATTTTCGATCAATCTGTCTCATGTTTAATCAAATCTAATTTCTCTGTTGATCTTTTGCTTCCTGAGTATATGTATTAGAGATGAGGATGATCCAGAGGCCTTGTAAATTGAAGAGCTGCAATCCTCACTTGACCACTTTGTTGCTCGGCGATAGATATGTTGGTCTGATCATGGAATGCAGAATTCGATAACTTCACATTGAAGAGTACTGTTAATGGAAGCCTGAAGTTTCTTGAGATTGTGTAGTTCAAATTGAATGGCCATGAGGAATTTGAGGTAAATCTAGGGAAAAGGCTAATGAGCTGATAAGCGTGCTGATAAATTTGAATCCTCCTCCTCTGGTTTTCTTTCAGTCACCCACGATGCGACAGGGAATCTGTATTGTTGACTTAATATATTTCTGCAGGCTCGGGAGGTGCGAGTGGGACCTACTTGTCAGCCGTGCCAAAAGTTCGATTCCCTCCTATAGAGAAAATGACGAAATAGGGTAAATTATTTAGCAAAAAAAAAAAAAAACGAAATAGGGTAAATTCGACACCGGCTTTGATTGCCCTGTTGTGAGAGGTTGTGTAGCTCCCTATGAGCCGCATTAGTTGACTGTTGAAACGGGGGCAGAGACAGAGACTGAGGCTGAGGAGTAGAAAAGCTGCGGTGACATCTCCTTCCTTTTTGTCTCTCCACGAGATTTTAGGACGAGATGCTGAAATTTTCTCAAGCTCGTGCTCCAAAGTTAGAATGAGTGTTAGGGGACAATTGAGTCGAACAGAAGATAATCCTTCTCGTGTTTTTGGTACGGGGATTCCTGGTTCTAAAAGAGTTGTCTGCTAATATCTAAACAAAAATCAACTCCCCCTTTTTCTCCTCGACTGTAGCTACTGATGCAGCAAGGGTTTCGAATATCAGGGGGGCCCATACACTTTGAATTTTCTCTCCTCTCCTTCCCCTCCCTCGTCAACCTTTTGTTCTCTAACAATGGAGTGTTGGGAATATTTTGAGCCTGTCATTAATCGTTTCATCAGATGCCACAGCTCTCAAATTTCACATACATTCGTAGAATTATTGGAAACAAATCGGTTTTTGCTCCTAGAGACCCCAAGACATCTAAATATGGGTGATCTAAATCATGTATCGAGTGAGAAGGATAAATACGCTTGCTACTTAAATAATTTTGTAAAGCGCCGTAAACCTGTAGATAAAAATAATCGATGCAAAGATTTCGATTCGGGATCCTTCGAAAAGACGGTACATTCTCCCTCGTAAATCCAATCTCCTTACAGAGAAGATACCTTTTCAACCCCCCACGATGAAAGCAAGCGGAAACATTTTCACGCTTCCCTTCATCCGTGGATTCACCGTCCTCCCCATCCTTAGCTCGAGGCCACCCCTAACTAGCCCTTGCCACACAATCACTCGACCCCGCTCCTTTCGCATCTTCTCTCTCGCAAGAGAGAGTGCAAACCCATCCCTATGCATTCGTCAACCTTGTAGCTTTTCCACCGCCAGACATAGTCATGGAGAGAGACTGACCTTTTGTGCTGCAAATGCATATAGCTCTTTAGCCTGCTGAAACACATTCTCTGTCTGTCCGCCCCTTCCCTGCGCTCATTCCAACCCTCCTCCTCCTTCTGCTTCTTCTTGGAGAGATGCAGACGCGAGAACAATCCCTTCGAGAGCACCACGCGCGCAGACGCGGACCCCGCGACGATCGTCACCCTTCCTTCTCTTCCACTCTCCTCGACTCCATCTATCGCTCCATCGACGAACCGCGTCCCCGCGCCGGTTCGTCCCATCCCTCCGCGCTCTTCCGCGACCCCCGCGCCCCCAGAAGGAAACACCCCGTCGCTACTGAAGAAGAACGAGAAGAAGAAGAAGAAGAAGAAGAAGAGGAAGAGGAAGTAGAGGGGGAGAAGTTGGCCCATCGTCCAAGGAATCGCGTGACGCTCGGGAGGTGGATGGAGAAGAAAATGCGCGACGAGAGGGTCGTCCTCCGCAGGAACTCCGTCGCGGCCGCCGATGCGCGCCCACGGAGCGATCCCGACAGCCGCTCGGCGTTCGTCCTGAGCTCGAGCTCGAGCTCTTCGAACTCGAGCTCCGGAGGGCGATTCTCGTCGTCCGAGTCAGAGTCGACTTCGGCTCGGGGTGGCGCGAAAGCGCGGTCCCTCTGTTGCGACGCGCCATGGCCGAAGCCGATTCGCACGCGCGCCTCCGTACGGTCAGATACTTCTCCTCCTCCCCCGATACATCCTCCTCCGACGTCGTCCTCGTCGGACGCGAGATTCTCTCTGGTGAAGACCAAGGCGAAGGCGCTCAGAATCTACGACGACCTGAAGAAGGTGAAGCAGCCGATCTCGCCGGGTAATCGGCTCGCGAGCTTTCTGAATTCTCTCCTCGCTTCGAAGAATTCTAGGAAATCGAAGATTTCGAGCTCATTGAAGCAGTGCGACGAGAGCGCGGAGGTTTCGACCACGGGCGACGACGGTGTGCACGAGGACGTCGCTCCGGAGGAAGAATCGAAATCCGGCAGCGCGTGGATGAACGCGAAGGCCTCTTACGGCGTAGTTTTAGAGAGGAAATCAAAATATGGCTACGAGAACACGAACCAGAAGGCTTCGCCCTCCACGAACGAAGGTATATACAAGGATTCAATCTCATTTTCCCAGAGCAAACTCATATCCAGCAGCGATGCACTGAAGAACGCGAAGATCTCGAGCTCCGTAGGACGTCTAGCCGGCGACGGCGTCTTCGAGAGGAAGTCGAATCCCGAATGCGGTCACGAGCCGGCTTTTCCTCCGCTCTCTCGGTCGCGCTCGGGCCCGAGCGACTCCGTGCCTTATTCGTCCGGCGATAGGTCAGTGAGCAGCTTCGCGAAGATCAGGTCGGTGAGGTTCAACTTACCGGAAGAAGACGAAGCGGCGGCGGCGGCTCCGACGAGAGCTCGCGGCGAGAATGACGTCGCGGAGACCGTTCGAGAGATCATGACGAGGTTGAGGAAGAGGAGCGATCAGAGCGAGAGCGGCGGTTCCGTTTTTGCGAGAGATCGAAACGCGGAGGAAGATGACGGTTATTCGAGCTCTGATCTCTTCGAGCTGGACAATCTCACGCACATTGGACATTACTGATAAATTCGGGTCTCGTGAAGGGCATTTTAGGAAATGATGAATGTCCGAGGTAAAGCCTTTGCGATTTCTATGTTTTTGGGATGGTTAAGAATCTTGGTGACCTAGCCCCGTCTAAATTTAGATTGACAACTCGGGGAATTTTACTTTCCTGCATATCCATGATTTCATCGCAGGCTTTATTAGCATGACAGTTTTTGGACCATTTTGAGAGTTGCAACATTTTCTAGACCACTATAATTTTATAATTTTTTTTTTGTGATCCAGAACATGCTGTTAATCTCATAATATATTTAAAACTGTCGCTTAATCATTTCCCATCACTGAAAATGTCTTTCCTTAGTCATCATCGGCAAAAGACGCGATAGTGTCATCGAGCTCTCGTCAACGAAGCAGAACGCGTATATTGGACACCATTTCATCAACAGAATTTCCGACACGAGGAATGCATGTAATGAAAAATAGTTCATGTAGACGGAGTTAGCATCTGAGAGTACTTTTTAAAATCGGATGGGAATGATGAGACTCTCTGGTACTACTTGCAGGTTGGTTGCAACACGTACTCAAATGTCCATACTATTTAAAAGAGGTAAATTTTTCTTTAGACTCGGTTCGTTGTAAATTGAGCGATTCGATGCGTGGACTTTACGTGAGATTCACAAGATCCCTCCGTCTCAAGTCACCGGCTTCACCGGCTAATAAATGGGAATGCAACACGATGGCTTGAACCCATGTGACGAGAGTTCAGACATAAGAAAGGGGGAGTAGACGAGGCAAGCCGCAGGTCCTTTGCCTCTCCTCGTCGGTCGACCGTTCGTGATCAGAGAGAAGAGCGTCAAGCTAAGCTTTTTCTCTCACTCTTTCTTCTCCTCTTTTGCATGTAAATTCGTTCCACGATGCTTCGACAGAGCATCGAAATGCACTCTGCCCGATGCGGGGCTCTTTCTATGTACAAAGTTCGACACGTACTCCCTCCCTTTTTTCCCCTCCTCCGGATGTGATTTGACTTTCGCGTACGTTAGAATGATTAAGGTGAGTCTCCCGGGCCATGTGTTCTCCAGCATCATCGATCTTCGGTTTGCGTTTCGGGGCGCCATTTGTCCTAAAGTTTTCCCGACTAACGAGGCGTTCAGCCCGTTGTCTTCATAATAATTCCTCCTTTTGAAACTGGTAATCCAAAAAGGGTGCTGACAGAAAGAAAAAAGGAATACAAATTTTAAGTGACCGAGACTTGGGAAGAGTATCGCCTTGTCTGACGAATTGTGGACATGGATAGTGAAATCTTTGATCCTTTTGAGCTTCCCCCTTCCATTTCAACATCGGTTGGCTCTTCATTTCTAAGAGCGTATCTTCGATGTATATTCGAAATCTAACTGTGCTCTCTTCAATTTTTCTGTCAATCATATACGAAATGTAGCGTACATCTTCGATCTTCACCGTGGACGTGTTGCATTATCAACCGAAGCTATCACATGGTTTTGTTTTCACAATTCAGATTATTAGTAATACCATTGTCAAATGGTCGGTTCGTTTCTTGATGGAACCCTTGTTCACGAATCATCGCCCGTCTAAAATGCCAAATTCGGAGAATGTCCCTCAAGCGTTCAACTCCCAACTGAAAGCAAAGATTTCTCGTTTTTGCAACAAATGATGCTTTGAGCATAACACTTTTTACGGGCGATATTTTCCTTTTCTCTTTGCTCTCGGTGTTCGTGTATTGTGGTCACCGGGTCTCACCAAACAATGGTTTCTCACCACGAGATCCTCTAACAAGCAATGATGTTGTGGGGGTCGCCCTCCCATCAACTCGGGATCCTTCCTCAATTATAACTAAGAGTTGAATGGCTTTCGATCAATTTCAGAAATAATTAGCATCATCAATATAAGCAATATCGATATAAAAACATATCGTCTGATCATTTCCGAACGAGGACGACATTTCAAGGTGGATGATTCAGCTACTGCTTGAACTTTTCTATCCTTGACCAAAAAATTTAATCTTGCTGTCAAGATAAGGTGTTAACGTCGCCGACCCTACGCTATATGATGGGATGATGGGCTAGGGCCAATGGGTTGGTCCTGCAATTGTCACTCACCAACCATGCATAGATCATGTCCATCCTACCCGTCTACCTAGTACACTATCTTACACTCCATTGGACCACTCTTGACGCGGTCTCTGGTCAACTAATGGTGTCATTCATAGCTCGATTGTCATCCACAGTGCCCTATCACATTCACTCTCATCAAAATGATTCTCCCGTAAAAGCAGAGACCACAGACGGGAGTCTCAGATTAGAAGAGAGAGAGAGAGAGAGAGAGAGTGAGTGAATCCTTGGTGATCCCGAGAAGAATTTAGACGAGACTTGAAAATTGCAGCTTTTTTCATCCTATCTTGGAAAATTTACATAATTGTCAACCATTCTGCAAAACTTGAAGAGAGGAATCACAGTTCACAGTAATCGGATGGTATGTAATTCTGAAGGTGCATTTTCAAAAGACAAAGTGACTCGTCGAATTTGAGAAGATATGGTGCCCTATAGATTCGCACGATCTGTGAAAATAACTTTCTACAGGTTATATTCTAAAGAGAGATCCTGAAAAGGAAAAAAGAAAGGTGTGTGAGCTAATCCTAAACATATTTGTAGCGGCTTGTGGATGGACGTTTTAAGTAAAACCTCTCACTTGGGCGCTCTCGGAGAATGAAATTCACCTGAAATTGGATATTTTAATGAATAAAGCATCCCTTTGTTTGATAGGTTGTATTATGAACCATCATTTAGTTGATCAGAGTCGTTAGTTTACATATTATCAAAAACAAGAAGATACATAAAGGCTACAATAATAGGATCATATTATAAGCGGGGAGTCCATTACCTTGCACGGGTCCCTGGGGATTTCTGTCCTGTGATCAATGACTCAACATTGAAGAACGAAATTTCTAATCAACAGACCGAAGTTCGGCAGATTGGGCAGTCGGAGTGCGAGTAGAGCCACAGATCGATACAAGAGGAGTGGAAGAAGTGCTTGCACTGCTGGAGCTGCTTGATGCTTTCACCTTCCTCGAACCCCATCAGGCACACAACACATTCGGCCTGACCGTCTGCCTCACTGGTGTACTTCACCCTGGACACCGAGTACGAGTACGAGTACGCAACGGAGTTCTGGGTTCTGCACAAACAGAACCTGTAGACGAGCAGTCCTAGGACAGTGGCGATGTAGGTTGCTGTTGTAACTGCTATGGCTATGACCAGTGCAATGCCAAAGTAAAATATGGACATGGTCTTGTGGCTTGGTGGTGATGAGTTGATTGTGGGGGTGTGAACTGGATTGGGGAAATTTTTCAATGACCGAGAGTAGGGTGTTTGATAGTTGATGGAGATTACAAGGGTGTTTCTCCCGGGGATATCAATTAGATCCCAACTTTGTGTCTTCATGTGCTAAACCTTATTAAGGAATAGCATATTTTAGCCACATAGCACTCTCCTTAACTAAATTTAAAGGGGAGAAAAACGAGAAAAAAAAAGGTTGTTTCTCTGCATTTTGATTAAGTTTGTGTTTTTGTTTTTGATGTGTTATTATGTGATGAGTGTTGAATATGCATACCAATATGCATATATGTTTTACGTTATTTCACAAGCTTTGCTCGGTTGCAATTTGTATCTCACATGATGAACTTTGCATCAAACGAAGTTTAGCAGCACGACAAGAACTAAGACAGTGAGACGGGTAATGTGAGAAAGCGAGACCATGATACTAGTTAAATTGAAGGTACATACTTCAGCTGATTATTATTACTCTGAAAGCCAACGCTGTTTCTAATATATTGCGAATGACGAAAGACTTAGAAATGCATTATTTTATTTGTTCCAAGAACAGTTTGATTGGTCCTTTAGAGTTGGCAGCTTAAAGTTTGGATTTTGCTCTGGTTGGAATCCAGTCCGATTACCCAGTTTGACAAAGGTTCTATTCAACTAAAAGCTGAAACCTTTCTGGGTGTAATCTTCTGTTTCTTATCGTTTGTCTTTTGGGATGCGAAATGGGTCGTAACTTCTGGCTTTAGTGAAGTTGATGACTCCATGTGAAATGAAACTAGTAAGACCACGGTAATCTCCTGTTATGTTCTCCAATTTGACTAGTGACTGAATTTGGGCAGTTCAAGATTGCACTTTGCCATTTATCAGTCACTCTCGATGAGGACCATAATCTTGCTCGTGCCCGCATTCATGCTGAGGCTGCTGTTCAGAAGGGTGCTAAGCTTGTTTTTTTTTTTTTTGGTAACCCAGGGAACCCCTGCACGGCCGACAGCCGGGGGTAAACCCTGGGGGCGACACGTGCTAGCCACCACACACGTGCCACCGGTTAAGTCACCCTGCGGCGCCCGGGATTCGAACGCTCAACCTTTTGCGAGAGGAAGAGCGCCCGCTCCAGCGACACCACCCAGGCGGGTGGTTTGTTTATTTGCTGTAAGTTGAATGAATCTCTCATAATGACCTCGTGTTGATCTTGTTTGGTATAATGTCCGAGTAGATTGGACTAAAAGTCGATTTGCTTGGGTACAGGCGACGTGGAACTGTCTTTCGCAAAAGAGTGCTTCCTGAAGTTCGCTGAGGAATTTCGTGACGAGGACAGCTCGCCTTCATTCTTGTTGCTATCATAACTTACTCGGCTACATGAAATCACTATCCTGGGTGGGTCAATGCCAGAATTGGATAATGGTCGGTGGTACATTACTTGTTGCATAACTGGGCCAGATGGGAATTGAGAAGGCAAAACTACGGAAGCAAGCAAACACTAGAGTACCAAATGCGTAGATCATTGATGCGCTTTCAACTAGAGCAAGACGTGAACATTTAGCCCTGCAGGTTCATCCGTTCGATATGGAATTCGAGGGAGAGTTTTCGTTCAAGGAGTCTGATATGATTTTTGCAGGCGGAGAATGTACTATTGTCGATACAGGTACTCATAGAAACATCTTTGAAATGCTAAATATTATCATCATGAGCATAGATAGACTTTCAGTGAACAGTGCCATGTATTCAATTGGATGCCGTGCCTAACAAATTGAGCTCTTTGATACTGGTTGTATGAGCCGTTGCTTGGTTAGGGTTGTGTTGCGGTCCGAATCTGCCATGACATGTGCTTCCCCAAGCCAGCAATGGTATACAAAGAGAGGGGTTACCCTCTTACAATATGGAAATTTGTTGTATATCCTAACTATAATGTCACCGTTGTGAATTCCAGGAGCTAATATGATATGCTACCCTGGGGCGTTCAACATGAGCACAGGCGTAGCACTCTGCGAGGTTTCGCGGAGAGCTGGGTAGGACAGTAGGAATGGATTGGCTTCTACTCTGAAACGATGTGCCCCATACTGAATTAGGGACAGCGTAGGAGAATTTAACTGCTGCACCTATAACTCACGACTTCAGCAGCGAGTCTGTGTGCATCGGTGATCGGCGTGTCGGTGTGTGCATGTGCGTGCCTGTACACTTGTCTGTTCATATGTAGTTGCGCATCGGGGTTCCGAGTAGCCAAAGAAACGACGTCAAACATTTGCTGCATTCACTTGTTCTAGGAAATTAGGGTCGGTGCTTCCTGTCAAAGCAGAGATAATATCTTTTTTTTCGGTCTGAAAAGCAGAGACAAGTTCAGTTATGGCCTGTTCATGTCAAATGGTTCATGACAGTCAGTAATTGGATTACCTCTGTAAGCTATTTGTAGCTACTTGCTCGCCATGATTCTGAGGGTTCCCACACCATTTGGGGTCATTCCACTCACTTCGGCCCGGTAACTTTTGAAGTTCAGAATCATATAAACTAGCTCAAGGATCAGGATCCAACTGCACAGTAAAATGGTTACGCTCATCGAAAACTCTAATTCAGTTTTGCTGCCTACAGGTAGGAGAAATGGTAGCACCGACAGCGATCAAGCGACTCACATGATATCTGAAGCAAACCTTGAAACGGGTCGGTGCTAGGTTATCTAGTCGCAGCATATCTTGTGTGGAGAAGTTTGCTAGTATCTTGACAAGACCGTGATGATCTTTTTCTTTTTTGGGTTGAATAGCCAAACCTTCGTGCCCCGGATTGTGAGGGCTAGAAGCCTAGAACTCAGGATAAACAGAAAAGCTCCGAACAAGAGATGAGATATCAACAGGCCAAAGCAACAGATTTTGAAGTGTGCAAAAAGGGGGAAAAACAAACAAAGAAGCAAATTTGACAACAAGAAGATTTGCCTTATGAACCACTCTAAAAACAAGGTCCAAAAAGAACAAGAAATGGAATGGGAACTGGGTTGAAACATCAGTCAAATGTGGGAGCTTCCTAAACTCCAAGAACTTGGAGGAAAGAACAGTTCCAAGAGCCTTAACAAACTCCCAAACCTCACTCTCTTTAAGCACTGTTGAACGTCCCCTGATCCCACAAAGAAAAAGGGAAGGGGTGAGAATCAAAACGACCAATGCTCTGATGTTGTCCTTCTCTTTTCAAAAAAAATAAAAAAGTTGCGAAAGGAGCTTCTTGAAATTAGAGAAACACAAGCTATCTCAAGTAGATCACTCCCTCACAGATGAAAATCATGATCTGGGTCCTCCCGGGAAGCATGAAATCATTCACTCTCCGGTAAGGATCAAAAGAACAAAAACTGTGATTCAGCTGAATAACTCCATAATCGACAAGCAGAAGAACAATGGGAAAACAAGAAAGCTGCCAAACGAAAAACCTTGATCATCAAAATTTGCACAGGCAGCAAAAAGAGGCTTCTTTTGATCTTGAAATGGATCATATTCAGAAGCTCATGCTGAATAAGGGGAATTAGAAGTCCCTCTCTTCGCTGCCGTGTGTAGAATTTACTGGAACGAGGGAGGGGTTGGCGTTTCATTTTTCCCTTGTCAACTATCATACGTATGGCATTGATCCACTTTTAGAAAAGTGGTGTTCATGGGATAATTACACAAATGATCATTGAATTTTGGTCTAACGTGAAATGTCATCCCTAAAATTTTAATTTGTTTATTGTGGTTCCTGAACTTTGGCTCGATTTGTAATGTTGTCCACAAGTTTTAAATTTATTTAATGTGATCTTGGAACTTATGTTAAATGTTCAATCTAATCCTTAAACTATATTAAAATATCCAATATTATCCTCTCATTAATTCAAGTTCACGAAATTTGCTGATTTGACTTTCGACCCGGTAAGTTTGAACGGTGGACAAAAAAATAATGTTACGCGTGGATTATTCGCGTAAAATATTCAACTCAAATCAGAATATAATAATCCACGTCATCAAACAAAATAACATGGATAATACTTTTTCCAAATCGAACCAATTAAACAAATTAAAATAATTATTATATTTTAATTTGAGTTGAATATTTTACGTAGATAATCCATATGTAACTTCTTTTTTTGTTCAACTTTCGAACTTATCGGATTGGAAGCCAAATCAACAAATTTCTTGAACTCGAATTGATAGAAAGATAACATCGGACATATTAATATAATCAAGAGATCAAATTAAATATGTACTAAAAATTTAGGAATCATATTGAATAAATTAAAAATTCAAAAAGGGCATTGCAAGTTTGGTCTAAAGTTGAGAAACCATTTGTGTGGTTTAGCCCATTGTAATCACAAATCCAACTTGAGGGCGCTTGGAACAGAGTCGTTGTTCACCGTTTCTTTTTTCTTCTTTTTCCCGCGGGAATAAAAACGGTTGGATGAGAGAAAAGAGAGAGCTTTATCCATGGCGACTGCTCTTCTCCCTTCCACACTGTCTTTCCGAGGCTCATTAATCAGACAAGTCAACCGTTCCTCGTCCGTTTTCTCCAACACCCAGAAGCGTGTCTTCGTTGGTTGCTCTGCCAAGAAGAAAATCGGCTTTTTCGATCAGATTCTTGATTACATCGAGGGTACTACTGATCTCTTTCTCGCTTGCATATTTAATTGGCCTCAATTTCTGTGTTTGGATGCGGTCTTGTCTTTATTCCCCGATCGGGTTCATTCTTAGAAACAGTTTGTGCGCGTCTTAAAGGTGGAGTCACAAGATGTTTCGTTTGTGGTTGAAACCATACAGATCAGATGCTCAGCAGTGTGCTTAAGAAGGAAAATTAGAAGCATAACATCTGGTTCATTGCTTGTTCTGACCTTAATTTCAGGAGGGCCTAAGTTACGAAAATGGTATGGAGCACCTGATCTTCTTCCCATGGATGGGTCTGGTGTGGATGAAGAGGATGAGAATCAAGGTTCTGCTTTTGTTTCTTTCAGTTTTCGTTCTTTGTTTTTTGTGCTCAGCTTGGGATAATGAACATACGCAAGCGTAGTTAGATGCACGAAGCGTGCATAATGAGTTAATCACAATAACTAAATTGCGAGAGTGTGCCATAGAATTAACTGTGTTTGGATTGCGGTGAGGCTTTTGCTTTGTTCTAATTTGTAGGTGCTTTGAGTTTGCTGATGCATTTGCCCTTCCGTTTTGAACTCAGAAGAAGAAGAAGCGAGGGATGCTGTTTTAGTGACAGACGGAGATAGTGAAATGGGTCAGGTTCGTTTCAAACTTAATGTCAATAGCCATCATGGGCAGTATAGAAAGGAGAAGTACTTGCTATTTCTGTTCTTTCTGCACATATGCACTACAGGAACTTCAGGGTGTCTTTTTCTGTCCGAAAGTAATTTCTCTAGCTTAGTAAAGCCCGTGGAGTGTTCCTGTGCTTAAATTTGCGAAATGTTTTCTTTGCTCTTATAGCATCCTTTTCAGAGTTCACTTATTGACTCTCTGCCAATGTCCCATTTACTTGATTTCTTCCCCTCTAAAGTATGTTCTTTCTTCTTCCAACACTTTTGAGTTAATTGTATTATAGTATCTGATTCCTGTGATTTCTAGCTTATGTAGATGATTATTCTTTCACTGATCGTTAAAAGAACTCGAGTCAAGGCATTGGTCAAAGACAAGCGGATGGCCAACGAGGCCTTTGGAGACTATGTTGAGGTAAGCAAAGATGTGCATACTCACAGCATCTCTTTTCTGTTGTCACTCATCTCTGCTTCCAGCGCTCCTTTTAATCTATGTTAATTTGTTTTTGGGTGGAATATCCGATTAAGTAGTTATGGTTTTCCTTGCAAAGTCAGTGGCTGGAGACACGAATAGCAATCAATTCCTCGATAGAGCTCTCAGAGGAGTTCGGGCCATCATATGTCCAACCGTATGTTGATGTGCTTTCTTTCATTCTGTCCTTACCATTGTGCCCTCACCTTATGTTGTCTTTCCTGCATGAATATGGAAATACTTTGCATAACTTGTTAAATAACAAGGAATAAAATACCTGCTCTACACTTGATTTTTCGCTTTCAGTTAGTTCCATCTTGATTATCGATACCCTTTTGTTTCTCCTCTTACAGGAAGGTTTTCTATATAATGTTGGGAGCTTGAAGGGAATCAAACACGTAATTCTCTTATCTCAGGTATCTCTCTCTTGAACACTGTAGACAGACACATTCCGGGTAATATATGCGTATCAAATGTTATTGTTTAATGAGGCTGCAGTTGTCCGTTTATGAAGGTTCAAGTGGCATTCAAGCTATGATGAGAGGCTCTTCAAAAAAATTGGCTGAGCAAGATGAATCAAAGCTGATGGCTTCAGGACTACCATACACCATTATCAGGGCTGGCGCGTTGCAAGATACTCCGGGTGGAGAACAAGGCTTTCGTTTTGATGAGGTGCCGCTATAGTCTTACTCTGGTGTTTTTGATATTTAATTCTTTGTTAATAAAGATGGATGAAATTGGTATTGTTTAAGCGAAGTCCATGTGATGAGATATTCTTGATTTGGGGAACAGATTGCCTCTTTCCACTGATGGCCTGTGATCGTAGGGATTGGTAATTTGTAAATTGGAAGGATCCATCTCATTCAACTGGATTCGCTGGAAAGAAAAAAAATCATCAGGAGGCACACATAAGTAGTAATTTGCAAGTATTTTCTCGTTTGAAATGGTTGGACAAAGGTGATACTTAGAAGAGTCTGTAAACTGTTCTTTTCTTGCAACTTATTTCGTACACTTCATTTACAGGGTTGTTCGGCGAAGGGAAGTCTCAGCAAGGAAGATGCTGCTATGATTTGTGTGGAAGCGCTCAGCGCAGTCCCTCAAGGAGGATTTGCATTTGAGGTAGCAGTCACCATTTGCCTCTTTTACATCGCAGAGGTTCCTGTAAATGGATAAACTTAAAACTCTCCTCGAACATCGGTATCTACGTTTTAGCTCAATCAGTTTGGAACGTTCTAAAATGTATATTGGATAAACTAAAAGTGTTTCTGTTGCCTCATCAGAGTTCTAAGGTTTTGCCTTGGTGCTAGGTTGTTAATGGAGAAGAGAAGGTATCAGATTGGAAGCAGTGCTTAGTCAAATTGATGGAGAAGGCTGAATAGCAGCTGTGATGATCAATTCTCCTCCTCCTGCCAATTTTTCTGTTTTATAATCCTTTCTATTGGTTCTTCTCAGCAACTCCAAGACAGAAAGTTTCAGCAAGTAGTTGTGGTCTTGGGAGATCTTGACACTGTATGACATTCTCTTGTGCTATTACTTATCATGGGATCTGTTAGAAAATCGATTCTCGGACAACTCAAGCCATCCGGAAACTGATCGGCGATGATCAGGTGAAGGCGGACTGTACACCCGAGACACGGGACATAGGAACACGAGAGAACATATGGTGCAGTTCTAAAGGGAAGTGCTCGGAATTTGAATCTTTGACCTTTGCTAGCATATTGCATTAGAAAGGCGCTTACGCTACGATCTTAGAATGGAAATCGGTCAACCATCCAGGCATATGATGTTTTTGTTAACAAGATAGCATAATGTTTTGATTACGGTTGTCATTATGGTCAATGGTCACCTCTAAATTAGTAAACCGAAGAATAACTAGAATTTTTTTTTTTTATTGTATGTACTCTTGCATTTGTAAAATTAATTGGGTGAAAGCCACAAAAAACTCCAAACTATGTCCACTATGACACATTTACCTCGAATTCATTTTTGTGACATAAAAAAACACCAAACTATATTTACTGTGACATATTTACCGTAAATTTTTTCTTGTGAGATAAAAAATCATAAACCTGTATATAAATGACACATTTCCCCTCCGTCAAAGTTCCGTTATACTATTTTTTAGCCAAAATAACATCGTTTTTATTTTACTTAAGCCACGCAGACGCAATATCGACACCATTTGCTTTCTGGTGTCCATGTAGGCAGATTTTTAACGGTTCTCATTTACGTATTTTCGAAAGACGGTAAATGTGTCACGCACATGTACAAGCAGTTCTCGATAAATGTGTCGCAGCGAGTGTAATTTAAGGTTTTTGGTAGTTTTTGCCCAAATTAATTACAAATTTAAAAGCGAGGGAAAATCCAAGAATGTTGGCCCCGGACACGGCCAAGAAGACTGGATACTGAAAAACCATGCCATTGCCCGATACGTTACACCAATCCCATGGCGGTTGAGAGTTGACCCGTCTCGTTGACTTCCGGCGTTGACCGGGCTGACAACTACAAAGGTCCCGTGGGTGGGGGGGCCCACCCCGCGCTCCGCCTTCGCCCGACGTGTACGGCCACGATTCCACCTCCCCGTCTTCTCCCTTCTTCCCTTTCCCCTATTGCTTATCTCCCTCCTCTCCCCCCCCCCCCCCCCCTCTCTCTCTCTCTCTCCCTCCGCTGGTGAACCACCGCGCTCCGCCGCCGCCGCCGATACGGTCCGGTCCGAACCATGGCGGAGAACCCGACCTCGTCCCCGAAACCTCAGCCTTCGAACCCGATGGATCCGGCGGCCTCGGCGGGGTCGATCCCCCAGAATCCGTCGCCGAACCCCCAAATCCCGTCCCAATCACCCCTCTCCCACCCCTCCCCTTCAATCGACCCGTCGCAAATGAGTTCTCAGATCTCGTCCCCTCCCCTGCCTCATTTCCCTCAGCAGCAGCAGCAGCAGCAGGCGCAGGCGCAGCCGCAACCGCAACCGCAACCTCAATCGCTCGTCCATCAACAGACGCAACAATCGTTAGTCCAGCAGCAGCAGCAGCAGCAGCAGCAGCAGCAGGCTCAGAACGTTTCCGCCATGAACAATTTCCAAATTCAGCCGAATCTTCAGAGATCGCCATCGATTTCTAGGTTAAATCAAATGCAGCAAATTGGCTTACTGAGGCAGCAGCAGCAGCAGCAGCAAGGTGGAGTGTATGGGCAGGTCAATTTCGGCGGGTCCCAGCAGAACCAGCCGCAGAACCAGCAGAATCAGATGGTGACTGGGAATCTCACGCGGTCGGGTTTGATGGGGCAGAGCGCTCATTTGCCGATGCTATCTGGTACGGCCGCGGCTGCTGCTCAGATGAATTTGCAGACTCAGATGTTGAATTCGGTGCGTCTTTTCTTGATATGTCGTTCATCGCTATTCAGTTCTGTTGTTATCTTTGGTTGGCATTCCAGTTGGGAGCAGTGTGAGGAGGTTTTATTGTCTTGTTAAAAAAGTTTAACTCGTTTTGAGTTCATCTTACAAAGCAAGCGTGCAGATGGACATCAGTGAAGCAGGTAATTATTAAATGGAAATGGCATGCTCCGAGGTTCTTCTGCGTTGGTTATGCAGCGGATTGTTAGTAAACCAGTTTCTTTTTTTCTTTTATTTTTTCATTTGACTCTCTTGATCGGATGAGGTTTTTGGAGACTGATTAGCTAATTAATATTATTTTGTGACGTGTTATGTTGGGAAATGTAGAGATATAGGTCTTTAAAACCGTGAATTTTGTGGGTGTAGCCAAGGCAAAAGGCAGGATTAGTACCAGGGAGCCAATTCCACTCTGGTAATTTAGCTGGACAACCATTGCAAGGGATTCAAGCAATGGGATCGCTTGGCTCGTATAACATGAACTCACAACTAAGGGTTAATGGTGCTCTAAGTTATGGGCAGACGCGGATGACCCCAGGGCAGATAAGGCAGCAATTGTCACAACAGGCTCAAATTGCATCTCCTCAAGTATAATTTCTTTTCTCCAATTTTGTTTACAAATTTATCCACGGATATCATGATATAAATAGTTGGACCTCATTTTCTGTTGTTGAAGTTCAGATCTCTTTAACCCACGAAATGTCCTCTTGGGGTGTAGATTGGTAAACGTATAATGCTATATCATAAACTGCAGATGCAACTGCACATTTAGCTTTTCAAAAACAAAGCAAATGCTCCTACTTTTGACATCACATTACATTGTACTCTGTTAAAAAATGAGATACTTAATATATATTTTTTCAGCTTGCTGAAAGTTCGAATGTTTTGATCTGTCAAACTACAGGTTCAAAACCTGCAAAGGACGTCATCCCTGTTCATGAATTCGCCAATATCTGGATTGACTCAAAATGGACAATCAGCTATGATGCAGAACAACTTGTCACAACAGCAGTGGATGAAGCAAATGCCAGCAATATCTGGTGGTCCTGGTTCACCTTCATATCGCCTTCAACAACAACAGAGGCAGGCTCTTTTGCAGCAGCAACTCGGTTCAACCCCTCAGTTTTCGCAAAACCCAATGGCCCTGAATCCGCAACAGTTATCACAGCTGGTGCAGCAGCAGTCATCAATGGGACATCCACAGCCACATCAACAGCAGCAGCAGCAGCAGCAACAACAACAACTGCAACAACCACAAATGCATCCGCAGCAGCAGCAGCCTTCTCCTAGGATGCAGGGACCTGCAGGGCAGAAATCTCTTAGTTTGACTGGATCACAGCCAGATGCTACTGCTTCTGGTACAACAACACAAGGAGGAAGTTCGAGCCAAGGAACTGAGGCAACTAATCAACTTCTTGGGAAAAGGAAGATACAGGATTTGGTTTCACAGGTTATCTCCCACATTTCCACATCATTTTTTGTTGTTTTCCATTTGTCTTATCTTTATGAGGTAGTTGTCACGAACACTCTGTATTTGGTATGTTATAACAGAGGTTAAAAATCTGCTGCGCAGGTGGATCCACAGGGAGTACTGGATCCTAATGTTGAGGATCTTCTTTTAGAATTTGCTGACGACTTTTTTGATCAGGTGAGTTTTGTTGTCATCTAATTTGTTGCCCTTATCTTTAACCAAATTGCTAACCTGGATTATGAACTGACAATTCTATAATCCAATTGCTAAAATTGGGGCAAATTGGTAATATTTTCTTTTAATCTATTTTGGCCTGTCTCCCGATCGTTCACTATCTGACTTAGTTTTTGAGTTAGTCTCAGATCTATGTGGTTATTTTTTGCATATGCTTAGCCAGTGAGGGTACTGGTTGTAACGGATCTATTGGCTGCAGCATGCTTAATCTATATGTGGGATGTTCTTTTTCTTTTCTGAAGTTTGCTTCTTGCTTGAGTGATGAAGGTCAGTGCAACATATCTGGGTGTCCAAGCAACCTCAGTGGCAGTTTGGCCTGAAATTGGCATTCTTTGAGCTTAATTCAACTTGCAAGTTGTAAATGCAGTCATGTCATGTTTTAACTCAGTTTGTTCTTTTGAACCTGGTGACCTTTTGTTAAAATGATAGTAAATTGTGCGAATGATCGATCACAATTCATAGTTGTACTCAAGCTTCTTTTGGTCTTATGCTTATGCCTGAACTATCTTTGTGCTTTGGCTTCCTACTGTATTTGTTTGCAGGTAACTACTTTTGCCTGCAGTTTGGCTAAACATCGCAAATCGTCGACATTAGAGTCCAAAGATGTGTTACTGCACCTAGGTTTGGCATCCCCCTTATCTGCGAGTACATTATATTTCAATGGAAAATCTATTGAAATACATACAAGAATAACCTGTAAAGTTCAATCTTTGTGGTTGGTAGCTGCTGCATAGTTAAGAACCTAGGGAGGAGATGATATTGCATGATTTGATTAAATTAGGAGAGGCCTTTCCTAATATAATCTGTCAACTTGCTGAGTTTAAGGATATTGCTGAGTTTGAGGATATGCATGTTAACCGCCGTCAATATTAGTCCGTCCTCTTGATGACTCCAGACACTTATCAGCTTCTAATGTAATGCAAGGTTAATAATATAATGTGAATTTTCTTTTTTCCGCTGCCATCTTTCTCCTTTCCGAAAAAATGTTGTGTTTACTCTGATGTGCACAAGACATTTTGGTCATGAGCAGGCTTTTTCATGTAGATTTAGCTAGTCTTCCTGTTTGTTTATTTGGATGACGTATCCAACTTGAGCTAATTTATGTGTTGTTGAAGTCCTAAGGTGTCTTGAACTACATGCTATTTTGTCCGTGCAGCTGTAGGTGCTATGTTAGGTGATTTATTATTGCATTGTTTTCTGAAAGTAATTTTCATTGTTCTTCCTCCCCTTTAGAATGCATAGATGCACACGCTTGCAGTTTCTGTCAAATTTAGGTGTCTGAGTCTTCAAAATTATATTGCAGAAAAAAATTGGGGTTTGACAATTCCTGGATTTTCAAGTGAAGGGCAGAAGCACCTAAAGAAACCTGTAAGTATTATGTTTAGTACTTAATTTTCTTCTGGATTAGCATAGGATGTTCTACAAAATTTCTCGGATTTCGCTGTATGCAAATTATGTCATCACTCTTATAATCATAGTCACATTATCGTGGACACCTTTTTCTTGAAAAAACTACAAACGACATTCCTTCATGGCCTATCATGTATGCTTAGTTTCAAATTTAAACTGTTGGCACAATCATGGAAGTGGTTTTGCTTTGTCTTTCAATATGATCCAATTTTAAAGTTTTACGAGTCTATGATTTGGGGGATCTTTCGAGTTCATTTTTCTTTATGGTAAAAGTAGTTCCATTTATTTCTCTTTGCATGAAAGAGTTGTCCTAGAAGAGTTTTTTTAATGCTATCTTGGTGAGCTCTTTGTGTTGATGTGAGTCTGAATTTTGCTCTATGAAATGTCGTAACTGTTTTTGACATTTCAGTTTTTAATAAACTGCAGTTAGCTAGTGAGGTTCACAAAAAGCGTCTTGATATGGTAAGTGGGGTTTGTCTTAATACAAGCTTGTTCTCTTATTGTCACAAGGAACTGAGATTCTCTTTTCTTGTATCTCTTGTCGTTTGCCAGGTTCGTGCATTGAGGGATTCTTCGTTCATGGAAAGAAGTTCAGATATCTCTAAAGAAATAACGAGACAGGGGTCTGACAACATAATTGGGCCCAACCACTTAATAAGGCCTTCACCAAGTTCTGACCATTTGGTCGCACAACCAACTGGTTCTCAGATGCTGCAGCAACTAACACGGTTTTAATGTAGCTGAGATTCCCTTGCTTCAGTCAATTTGAAGATGAGGTTATTTATCACCTGATATGTGGTAATTATTTGAGCCTTAAAGTTTTATGTGATTATTACAGCTTTATTTAGATGGTTGCAGCTCTAGTCTATCTCTTGAAATTGTCTATCTCCTTGAATGTATCAGTAAGGATCATACTAATTCTGTCGATCTGACCTAATATTTAACTGCAGGTTGGGCGTGGAGGACACAGACTGTACAGTAGTTTGGCATCTGATACATGAATTATTTGGTCAAAGATGACAGTGACTGACCATGCTCATTAGATTCTTCCTGGAGTTCTACTCTCTGATTTGGGAGAATAAAGCATCCAAAGCTGGGGCAGCTGGGTTTTTGTTCTATTGTTATTGATTTAACCTAGTGTTGTGTGTTTGATCTGAACTGGTGTAACCTTTAGATGCAGATATATGTTCTTGCTTGAAGAGAAGTGCTGATTTCTTAAGGTGCTGTTCAATCTTAGTCACAATATTGAAGTGCTTGTTCTTATGGATGAATGTACTAATAGGCAGACTTTACACCCCTTTGGATAAAATGTTATACATAAGATGGGCATCGAGGTATTTTCAGTTTTTCATTATGGATTACTGTCAGGTGCTCCAGAAGCTTTGCTTCTTGCACATCTCAGCTGTCGGATGCATGAGACTGTTGTGCAAACCATGTTCAATAGAATCATTGTTGAAAATTCATTTGAAGCAAGGCTCCCAGAAAATGTAATAATCAATTCCTATGGAGGATTGCTCAGCGTAGGTGCGCCGGTCTGTCTGTGACGTGAGAACAGCTGAGAGATTTAGCTTCCATGAGGCAATTACCAAGGACGTGTGATTGAAGATGCGGCTCTGAAGTCTTCTTTTGTCTGTTTTGTTAACCCATTGAGGTGATGAACACTGAGACGAACTACTCAACTTGCGAGATTAGATTTGCTCGAAATATCATATGGATCCTTGCCCACATGTTTCGTGTTTGTAAGGGCAGTCACACGAAGACGGTGGATTTGACAATTACTGTTCGACTGGGCACCAGTATACAAGCCAATATATTCCACCAATTAGCCCTTTGATAGCAGTGGTCCTCGTTGAGGTTTTGGAGCGCCACCACCGTTTTGTATTTGTTCCTGCTCTGTGTCTGTCTTTCGTGGATGGACCTGTTTTGATAGTGTTGAACTTCATGGGCCAGGCTGGTCTTTAACTTTAGTAGGGAAAAAACATGTTAGCTGTCCCTGTCTCCCTCCTACTGACTCCATCAATCACTACTGCGACAATCAAATTCCTGGAAAGTTTCAAACAAGAGCTTAAATTAAGGTGTTTTCTCAAAAAAAAAAAGGCCCAAAATAAACATTACCTCAAATAAAAATTGAAAGTGACATATTAATCTCACATAAGGGAACCAAATCATTAATCGCTCAAATCTTCGTATGCCCTAGGGCATTTTTGTCAAAAGACTGTTTCTGTTTTTTTTTTTTCTCTCTCTTTCACTTTCTTTCTTTTCTTTTCACTCTTTTTATTTATGTTTTTTTCTTTCATTTTTTTTTTCTTTCTTCTTCATCCCACATCCTCGCCTCCGAGACCTCTCTCTCCGCCATGGACGGCATCTTCTATGCCTTCTCCAGCCTCGACCGTGGCTTGCCCCCCCGCAAGAGAGCCTTCAATGCGCTCATTCTCTTTGTTTATTTCTTCTTGTCCTTCTAAGGATTGTAAGAGGTAATAACGATGCTTAACAAGCGCATTATTTGTTGGCAAAAAAAGAACAAAAAAAGAAAAGCAAACTCATCACTCACTTAACAACTAAAATTGTGTTAAGGGTTTGTTTTTTTTGCGGAAAAATGTACCATTTCTAGAAAACATTTCTAGGAAAATGACTTTATTATGCAGTGTTTGGCTGAAACCTGAAAAAGACTCGGAAAGTGTTTTCCATCGCTTGATAAGGAAAATCCGATAGAGAAAATTATCAAAAAATCCGTATTTTTTAATTTCTTTTTTTCTACATTTTCTTTTTACCGGCTACAAGCGAGCTCAAGCCTCGCCTAAGGAAAAATTAAAAATAAAAAGAAAAGAAAAATTAAAAAAAATTATAAAAAAAAATTTAAAAAATTCAAATTTCTTTTTTAAATATTTTTATAAAAACAAACGTTCAATTAACCAAAGACCTGAGCCCGAGTGCCGAGGATCCGCACACGGACTTTGTGGACCCGAGCCTGAGGGATGGGACTAGAGCTCGAGCTTCAGGGACCCAAGCATGACCTTTATGGATCCAGGCTCTAGTGCTGGAGTATCGAGTACAGGCATCAGGGGTTCGGGTCTGACCTTGATGGACCCTGACATGGGCATTGGGAGCGCAGGCCAAAGTAATGGGGTCTTGGGCCCGGCCACCAGAGACTTGGTCCTAAACGCGGGGACCAGGGAACCAACATTGGAGTTTCCATGTCCAAGTATAAAGTTTCGAGTCCAAACGTTGATACCTAATAATATTTTGGAAAATGTTTTCTAGTTCTTTCAAAGAGGAAATCATTTTCCTGAATTTAAGCTTTAGTAGGAAAACCTTTTTCGTTACCTAGGAAAATATTTTGCGTTGGCTCATTTTCCTAAGCGAATAAAATGCCAAAAAATGAAAAAAAATGACTTTTGTAAAGCAAATGGACCGTAAGTCTCTGTTCTTTGATCAAAAGATTCTCAAAGGTGAATTTATGATTGGAATGGTCTTCGGTCCTTTCATCCTCATGTCACTTCTCCAATGCAGATTCTCAAAGGGTACTCGTCCCCTGCCCGTAGATATACATATGTATCCAGCAATGTAATTTTCGATATCATAATGAATCAAATCGAAGTAAGACTTTTGAAATCACAAGTATGTTTGGCATCCTTTCGAAATGGAACAAAAAGGAAGGGTCAAAAGTGGTCTTGTGGCTCCATTTGTTTTGCGAAAAATGAATAATTTTAAAAATATTTCGCTAAAAATAATCGTTTGTATTGCATGAAATAATTAATCGATGAAAAATATTTCATCATCGACAGCAATTTGTATTTGAACATTTTTGTGGACAACGAAAGTTTCTTTCATTTCTTTTTTAAAAACAATACAAATAATTATTTTTTTGAAAATGTTTTTCAAATCATTCCTTTTTTTGGAAGGTTAAAAATATAGAAAAAATTGTTAATGAGCGCACATGTCAAATTTTGAGTAGAGGGTCCTTTAAATTAGGATGGTCCTTACCCAAAAAAAATAAAATTAGGATGGTCCCATAGTTACTACACGACCATGTCCTATGTATATAGCCCACCTGCTCCTACTTTTCTGGAGACACGTATGTCATCATCATCCTCCGTCATCAACCTTAATCCTCCTCCCCAACACAACCTTAATTCTTTCTCCAATCCACGGCCCTTCGCTATAGATTGCCCCTAGACATTCGTCATTTTCCTTCACCTGTAAACAGCTCTCCAGAGCCCGCCATTGGAGCTCTGCCACAAGAGACTCCACCGTTGCCGATATATTCGTGGCTTTGGAAATAGTTGTGAAAAGATGATCTGAAAGTAGGAAGAGAAGAGAAGAGACAAAAATAGATCAGTGCAGCTTATGGGTAGGAGTCCATGTTGTGCAAAGCATGGTGTGAATAGAGGAGCTTGGTCCAATGACGAAGACCAAATCCTCACGGACTATGTCACCCACCATGGAGAAGGCAAATGGAGGAAAGTTGCCCAGAACGCAGGTACTTCAGTATGTTAGGTTTCATATGAATTTGGTCATTGAAAAGTTTGGCAGAAAGACAAACCACATTTACTTCTTACATGCAAACTGTACTTGCTTTTAATTTTGTTACGTTTTGATGATGAGATTATAAACTTCAAAGTCTGTGCAACCCTTGTGCGTGTTTGTTTCTTCTTGAGAAGGTCTAAACAGATGCCACAAGAGTTGTAGGGTCAGATGGCTAAACTACTTGAAACCAGGCATTAAGAGAGGTGCCATCTCCCCTGATGAGGAAGACCTCATTATCAGGCTTCATCGTCTTCTGGGTAATAGGTATTCCTAACGTATACTTCACTCGTGCTGCTAATCTTTCGTTTTTTATGTGATCTTGATAAATCACTCATGATTTTTCAGATAGCACGCGCATGCTTGGGAAGCCCCCTATGTGAAAGAGAGATTTTGTAAAGACCAGATTTAACGTGTATAAGTTGAACCCTGTTTTGAGCAAGCGTACTTCAAAGCATCCCAACCCAGTGACCCTCCAGGATTCACATATACAGAACAATAGAGATGAAAAGCACATGCTTTAAACTAGAGGGAAAATGTACTCAATTAGAGAAAAACTAGGATGCTTTCTATAATTTACATACCCAGAACATTGTCTTCTTCATCACCTAGTGAGGTAAGCTTTATGGTTAGATCTTTTTACAGATGCATCACGACTTTCATCTGCAAAATGCTAGAGATGCAAAATAACTACAAAAAGAGAAGCATACAAAAGTCTATGTGATTAAGTATATAGTTTTTCCCCTTGGCTTGATGGGAAGACATGACAAAAACCGTCCGTTGGCACACATTAGCTAGTTTTTCCGTACCAATCTCTCTATGCAAATGTCTTGCACTTCTAGCGCAGCTTTTTTCTGTTACATAAACTTCAGCTCAGCAGAGGCATAATATCGGCAACGTAGTTTTGCTGAACTTAATCTCCAATCCTCCTAGTTGACATGAGGACTCAAATGAAAACTAATGTAAATGGGTTCATGTTTTTCAATACAATACCGGGAGACACTATCCATTTTGTGTTTTCATAATACTTTGATATAATTAAGTTCTAAATCGAAGGCCTTATCACTTCCGATTAATTTGTGTTACGCAGGTGGGCCTTGATAGCTGCAAGGCTTCCGGGACGAACTGACAACAAAATAAAGAACTATTGGAACTCTAGTTTGGTCAAAAAGCTTCAGGCTGCAAGGCCAGACAACAATCATCTTCTCAACTATGAAGAGAAGATTGGGACATTTGGGAGTAATCAACAAGTCTCGAATCCTCAGGTGAATTCACACCACAAGGTCCTTGGTTTCACTGAGTTCTCTGCCTCAAATGAACAAGACAAGGACTTGGTGAACATGATCGACAGCTGCGCAAAGACTAGTGATACCAACAACCTAATTCCTTTTCAAGCAGAGGATAGAGAAGACAATGATACGAACTTCTTGAATGCTGGTGATGAAGATTTTGTTTTCGGCATTTCAGAATCGAATTTGCCATCGCATCATGAGAAGATGGAGATGGGAGAGCAGAAAGATTTAATTGGTGTGAGCTATGGGAGCATTCCTTGTTTAGAGGTTTGTGCTTCTCCATGTTCAAGAGATGAAGACAAGGTCGAAACTCAGACGACGAATAACCATGATTCTTGTGATCAACCCACTTTAGACATGGAGTTGAAGAAGTTGGCTCTTTTTCTAGAGTTGGAAGATGAGTTTTTATAAAGCTGATTTCAAGCATTAATTGGTGCTTTGCTGGGTTAGTTCCTATATTAATTACGTCCATTAAGTTGTGATATGCACTCATCTTGGATTATTTTGATTCATGTTTTCGGATTTTCAATGGGAATAATCTGATGATGAAAATAAGTAAAATGTGCCCATGGGGTTTGCGTTGATAATTCTGGAGCAGGATTATAAAATCTCTTTCTTCTACTACGCTAGAAAAGCTGATGAAAATTGGTCACATTCAAATATGACCTCTACTCTTTTCCACATAAATATTAGTTAGACAATTCCACAGTCGAGAATATTGTCATTACTCCGAAAGTTAGCTCAATGGACCGTGCAAATCATATTGAAAATTCAACCTAAAAGTTCACTTATATGTATATGTGGTGATGGTTCGAGAGAGTTAAGCTTTTTTTAAGAGGTAGAAGCCCGGTACAAACTTGATAATTCATTAAACTCGAGGAACTCATTAAACGAAAAAAATTTAGTCATTGATCTCTTTCCTCCATACTTTGTCTGATATAAATAGCAGATAATCACTTTAAGTATGCAAATTTTAATAGTATGCAGACTACCTTTATGTGTTCCTTGCAGTGCATGGGTCTTGTATATACATAAGATGTTGAGGGAGATCCAAATATAAGAATGCTTGATCCTAAAGATCATCTTTTAGTATATTCGTTTGGAAACATTGACCGAGGAGTTTTGGACATCAGTGTCCTAAGGAGCAACAATAGGTGGCCATTCACATCACCCGGGTTTTGATAATCTAGGGACACAAGAGTGCAAACATCCGACTACTCGAAAAACCATGAGATACCCGGCAAGCCCATAAATGGTTAAGTTCAAGTATTTAACCCGTGCAGATGGTATCGATTCAGAGCAGTTGTATATAATATATTTCATACGATCAGGCATATTTGCAAGATCCAAATCTCACGTAGACTAAAATAAAGCATCATTTCTTTCCTTAGCGAGACTTGCCACATCTAACTAGAATAAGTCGTTACCGAAAGTGTCACTCTATAATCTCTCTTTAATTTCATGTGGGTTTCGAGCGCCAAAGACACACCGCACTCACATGCTGTCCTGGACATTTAAGCCAACACATTTGACGCATGACTTGAATGATGTTGAAGGTCATGAGCTTGTCGCGCATGCTACTTACCACCGGTTCGAAGCTATCTCTAGCAGATCGACACATTATGTTACCTCAAAATTATTAGAGTCCATTTTTAGATACCATTTACAATCGATCCGGCTTGAAGTACCTCAAAAGAGTAATCTAATAAGTAGTGACCTTTACAATCACCGCTCTCTCTCTCTCTCTCGTGGGACATGGGAGTGTACCATCACTTTGGGTTGTTTTCGGACTTAAATGCTTATGAAGGGTCACGGTCTTGAATTATGTAGGGTTGCAATTATTGGTCTATAGCATCGAATGCTCCCAATATATTTGGTTAAGCCCTTCTTGTTGTTTTTCTTTTGTTGCCTCTAATTCTAACACATTTAGAATGTTTTGATTTTGTTGTTGCGCTTTCATGAGTGGTTTCATTGAATGATTCATGATCATTCCCATATGATTTGATCGTGGGAATTGATTTCGGTCAACTCAATTAATACACCAGCTCCATTATGTTCTCTTCTATAATAACTGGGGAACTTGTATATTGAACCGAGGGACCATTTGTGTTATTTTCTCTAATCATTATGAATCACAACGTAACTGTCATGCATGCATAGCTAATAATTTTAACGACGTCTGCTATTTCCTTGTGAACAGTTTTGCGCAATACAAACGTGGTATCCCCGACTATGACTCTTGTCCATTCAAGAAAGGAGACGGTCCAAAATGATCAAATCTTCTTGATTTATTTATAGCGAGCAAAAGATCTTCAGAATCATTACCTTCTCGAAGAGTGTTAGGGGGAAAAAACGTTGTAAGATCGCGTTTCATCAAGGGAAAATGGGATATGCGATATCTTTGAAAGCCCATTGTATTGATTTGCATGGGCCTACATTGCTGTTCATCGTTCACTCTCGATTTTGTCTCGTTCCTAGAGCTACATGTACGCACATTGAATCAGAATGCCGTTCAATGTCTTGTATAGGAGGATATCTTTGTCTCGTTCCTAGGGCTGTCGAAGTTCTTTGTTTGAGCCATTGACTATGTAGTTCGTCATGGACTTATGCTTAGCAGACTATAGTCTTAATTAACAACTTAGTTGACCCATTCTTGACGTGGAAGGTACATATAATTGGACACTTTTAGGCGAACCTTGCATTTGAATTTCTAGCTTAAGAAAACTCAAACATATGCAAAAAGAAAACCCACAAAAAATGGAGAGAAATTTAATTTAGGCAACAATATCTCATTGAGCTCATGCAGTGCTTGAGAAAGGTCCTATTCAATTTACGCCTGTTTCCTGGTCGTTCACGATCAACACTTAGTTTTTAAGTTAATAATCTCAGATCTATGTAGTTATTTGTTGCATCGGCTGAGCCAGTGAGGGTACTGGTTGTGAGCAAGCAACCTGGGTGGCAGTTTAGCCTGAAATTGGCATTCTTTAAGCTTAATTCCACTTGCATTTTGTGAATGCTGTCAAGTCATGTTTTAACTCAGTTTGCTCCTTCAAACCTGGTGACCTTCTGTTAAAATGACGGTGAACTGCAAATTTGCGAATGATCAGTCATAATCTTTAGTTGTACTCAAGCTTCTTATGCTCTTATACTTATGCCTGAAATATCTTTGTGCACACGAGAATAACCCAGAAACTTCAAATCTTGTGGTTGGTAGCTGCTGCATTATTAAGAAAGTAGGGAGGAGTAGGGGTGAGCGGTTCCCGGTCCGGTCCGGTTCCAAGGTGGAACCGGGAACCGGACCGAGAGAACCGGTTCCCAATTTTGGGAACCGCGGACCGGACCGGTTGGTTCTAGGACCGGGAACCGGACCGTCGGTCCGGTCCGGTTCCGGTCCAGTCCAATGGAACCGGTTACTTAGAGTTTAGGGTTTTTTTTTTGTCTAACACTTAAGATTTAGTTCACATTTTACTAATTTTTGTCAATAAATTTATGTCAATGAAGTTCACTTAGGGTTTAATTCACATTTTACTATTTTTTATCAATGAATTTATGATAATGAAGTTCACTTAGAGTTTAGTTCACATTTTATTATTTTTTAAAGAAAAAAATAACAAAAATATATATTAAATAGTCGGTCCGGTCCGGTTCCACCTTGGAACCGGGAACCGGACCGCCCGGAAACCGGTTCCGCTTTTAGGAACTGGGAACCGAACCGATAATCCCGAGAACCGGACCAAACTCGTCGGTCCGGTCCGGTCTGGTCCGGTCCCGGTTTGGACGGTCCAAGTTGCTCACCCCTAGGGAGGAGATGATATTGCATGATTTGAATAGATTAGGAGATGCCTTTCCTAATATGACCCATCAACTTGCCGAGTTGACGGATATGCATGTTAACCACCGTCAATATTAGTGCTCCTCACGATGACACCGTGCACTTATCAGCTTCTATCTTGATGCAAGGTTCATAATCTGACACGAATTTTCTTATTTGTGCAGCCATCTTTCTCCTTTCTAAAAGAAATGTTGCGTTTACTTCGATGTGCACATGACATTGTGGTGGTGAGCAGGCTTTATTTACTTTGTTCTATGATGCTTATCGTGATCATCCTTTTGTAGCTCTTTTCTTTACCTATAGAGTCGATGTCCATCTGGCCATGTAGATTAGCTAGTCTTCCTGTGTGTCCGTGCAGCTTTCGGTACTATTTTAGGTGATTTCACACTGCATTGTTTTCTAATCTAAAAGTAATTTTCTCTGTTCTTCCTCCCCTTTAGAACGCATACACGCACACGCTTGCAGTTCCTGTCAAAATTAGGTATCTGAGTGTCGAAAATTATATTGTATATGGGTCGGGCCTCAGTTCGGTCGCAAGAAGCATGCCTCCTTCCATGTTCGGTTCGGGTCGGGTATTCGTGAGACCCAATCCAAACCGAACCGTTGACACCCTTATTTGCTGAAGAGGCCAGCCGTGTCATCAAAGCCCTGAGAAAGAACCTTATGGAGCTGAACCCTTGACACCAAGAAAAACACCACAAAGATAAAAACACTAGCCACTCAAGGACCAAAATCCGAAACAACTCAACAACAGTTTTGTCAGCAAAATGGATTCAAGGTAGCCAGCAATTACTTTCCACTGCCGATGAAGCTGTCGAAAGTGAGGGTATTGCCGTTCCACACCGCAAGATTCAACTCCCTAAGCCCTTCAGTGAGTCGTGAACACAAACTTCTCTTGAAATATGGGGTTCTTAACCACCATGTACACACCAAATCAAATCAAAACCAAGATGTCCATGCTGTTTTCCCAATTAGCTCAACACCATAAACTTCACTCGTCAAATCTCTATAATAAAACTCCATATCCAGATCTGAACACGGAAAGAGGTAATTGCGCGAACATTTCGCATGCAATTCAGAATTACCGGGGCAAGTTCTGGTGCGAAACTTAATGCTGCCATATTTCAGTCACCGATGGGGCTCCAGAGGCAACGGCGGCGGAGGGGGAGGCAGTGCCGCAGCGGCGAGGTTGGAAGCGAAGAGAGTGTGTGTAGTTAATGAAACGGAGGGGAGGGGAGGGGAGGGGATAGAACGAGCAACAGAGGGAGAAAAGAAGGAATTTTGAAAAAATCTGATAAGTGAGACCATTTTCTCATTCTCGGGCACATGGAGAACAGTGAATGGTGTGGACCTTGGCCGAGGTGGAGGTCCAGCACTACCCATTCCGAGGGATAAGGTCCATTGCTTCCACATGTTTCCCCCCGCATGTAATTCTTTCTCTAATGTACGGTCCTTCCATATTTATTGCCCCTAAACACACTCGTCACTTTCCTTCACCTGTGAAGTGCGCTGCAGAACCAGCCATGGGAGCTCTGCAACAAGAGACTCCATTGTTGCCGATATATTCATGTCCTTGAAACTAGTAGTGAAAAGGTGATCTGAAATTTAGGAAAAAGAGAAATACAACTTATGGGTAGGAGTCCATGTTGTGCAAAGCAAGGTATGAATAGAGGAGCTTGGTCCAATGATGAAGACCAAATCCTCACCGACTATGTCACCCTCCATGGAGAAGGCAAATGGAGGAAAGTTTCGCAGAATGCAGGTACTTCAGTAGATTAGGCTTCATATAAAATCTGGTCATTGAGGGTTTGACATAAAGAAGAAAAACCACAACATTACTTCTTACGTGCAAACTCTGCTTGCTATTCGACCAAAAAAAAAAAAGAAAAAAACTCTGCTTGCTTTTAGTTTTTTAACGTTTTGACGATAATAGGGTTATTAACTTCAAAGTCTGTGCAACCCTTGCGCGTGTTTGTTTCTTCTTGAGAAGGTCTAAACAGATGCTCCAAGAGCTGTAGGCTCAGATGGGTAAACTACTTGAAACCAGGCATTAAGAGGGGTGCCATCTGCCCTGATGAAGAAGACCTCATTATCAGGCTTCAACGTCTTCTGGGCAATAGGTATTCTCATATGTACTTCATTCATACTCCTAATCTTTCATTTTTAATGTGTTTTTGATAAATTGCTCATTAGTTTTTTGGATAGCGTGTGTATGCTTCAATACATGAGGAAGCCCCCATCGTAAAAGAGATTACGTTTGGAACCAAATTTTAACTTGTAGAAGTGGAACCTTTTCTTGAGCATTATTTTAAAGCATCTCATCCCAGTGATCCTCTAGGATTTAAATATATAGAATAATACCATTCGCAAGTTTTGAAAATAGAAGAGATGAAAAGCGTATGGTTTCATTAATTAGAGGAAGGATAAATGACACAAATGGTTCATGTACTTTGGATTAATGTGTAATGTAGCTTCTTAACTTTTAATTTGTTAAATACAGTTCCTAAATCAATTATACTTAACTATTTTCGTGGGTGATGAAAATATTTTTTGATCATTCATTTTCATAAATCTTAAGTTTTCCGTGAAATAAATGCATCCTAAGCATACTTCTTTTTCCCTTGGCTTTATGCAAAAAACACGACAAAAACCATCGTTTGCACCTAGTAGTTTTTTCATACCAATCTCTCTTTGCAAATCATTTGTATTTCTAGCACCGCTCTCTTCTGTGACATATCCTTCATCAGAGATATGACATCGGCAATGTTTTTGCTGAACTTATTCCCCAATTCTCCTAGTTTACATGACCCCTCAAATGACAATTTATGAACTTGTAAATTGGCTCATCTTTAGCAATATAATAACGGGAGACACTATCCATTATGTTCTTGCGTTTTCATAATACTTCGATATGAAGGTATAATCATCAAATTAAGTGCTAAATCTAAGGCCTTTTCTCTTCTAATTAATTTGCGTTACACAGGTGGGCTTTGATAGCTGCAAGGCTTCCAGGACGAACCGACAATGAAATAAAAAACCATTGGAACACCATTTTGGTCAAAAGGCTTCCAGCTGCAAGGCCGCCCATCAAGCATCATCTCAACGATGAAGAGAAAGTTGGGTCATTTGCCAGTAATGGACTAGTCTTGAATCAACAGGTGAATTCACACCATAAGGTCCTTGGTTTCACTGAGTTCTCTACGTCAAATGAACTAGACAAAGACATGGTGAACATGATCAACACCGGCGCAAAGAATAGTGATACTGAAACCCTAATTCCTTTTCGAGCAGAGGACAGAGATGGCAATGATATGCACTTCTTGAATGCAGGTGACAAAGTTGTTTTCGGCGCTTCAGAATCCAATTTGCCATCGCGTTGTGAGAAGATGGAGATGGAAGAGGAGAAAGATCTAATTGGTGTGAACAATGGGAGTATTCCTTGTTTAGAGATTTGTGCTTCTTCACGTTCAAGAGATGAAGACAAGGTCGAAACTCAGATGGCGAATAGCCACGATTCCTGTGATCGACCCACTTTACACATGGAGTTGAAGAAGTTGGCTCTTTTTCTAGAATTGGAAGATGAGTTTTTATAAAGCTGATTTCAAGCATGAATCTGTGCTTTGCTGGGCTGGATTCTTAATTAATCACGCCCATTAATTAATTTGTGCTATCTACTCATCTTCGATTATTTTGATTCACGTTGTCTAACTTTCAATGGGAATAATATGTTGAGGGAATAAGTAAAATGTGACCATGGGGATTGCATAGACAATTCTGGAGCAGGATTATAAAATCTCTTTCTTCTACTATGCTAGAAAAGCTGATGAAAATTGTTCATATTTAAATATGACCTCTACTTTTTGCCGTGTATAAATTAGTCAGACATTTCCACAGTCGATAATATTGTCGTTACTCCTAAAGTTAGCTCGGTGGACCATGCAAATCATGTCGATAATTCAATGTAGCATTTTTTTTTTTTGGCCAGTAAACGTAGTAGTTCACTTATATGTATATGTGGTAATAATTGGAGAGAGAGTTAAGCTTTTTTCAAGAGATAGAAGCCCGGTACAAACTCGATCATATCATTAAACTCGATGAACTCATTAAAAAAATAAAATTTAGTCATCGATCTCCTTTCCTCCATATTTTGTCTCGCATAAATAGAAGATAATCAATTCAAGTATGCGATTTTAATAGTGTGCACACTACCTATATGTGTTCCATGTAGTGCATGAGTCTTATATATACCTAAAAACGTCGAGAAAGATACAAATATAAGAATGCTGACCCTAACGATCATCACTTAGTGTATTCTTTTGGAAACATTGACCATGGAGTTTTGGACTTCAATGTCCTGAGGAGCAACAATAGGTGGCCATTCACATCCCCCGAGTTTTGATAATCTAGAAACACAAGAGTGCAAATATCCGACTATTCGGTGGTTCATGAGATACTCTGCAACCCCATAAATGATTAAGTTCGGGTATTTAACATGTGCATATGGTTTTGATCTAGAGCAGCTGCGTACAAAATATTTCGTACAATTTGGTGGATTTGTGAGATCCAAGTCTCATTTCTCTCTCATGACACATGGGAGTACCGTCATTTGTCTATGTTGTCATAATAATATGAAGAGTCGCGGTCTTGAATTATGTAGGGTTGCAATTATTGGCCTATAGCATTGAATGGTGATATATGCCAATTCGATCATAAACTTTTCAAGTTTGCCAGTTCAGTCCTAAACATTTACGTGAAATTTCAATGTAATATTTCCGGACAATTTTTTGCAAAAATGCCCGACATGGCAGTCCAATTATTGCCGACCATCCAACATGGTATGCCGTTACGTCAGCGATTTTACAACGATAATTAGCCATAAGGATTATATTAAAATTTTGCGCATAGATTTAGCACTAAGCTGATGAAATTGACAAGTTTAGGACCGATTGAATAATTTTCCCGCATTGAATGCTCCCATATATTCTGCCGAGCAATTTTCTTTCGTTTTTTTGCCTTTAATTTCAATAGGGCGCGGTGTGACTTATTCTCGAGGGTACTGTCCTCCAATTTGCCCAAACGAATATTTATTTCTTAGATTTTGTTGTTGCAGTTGCATGAGGAGCAGTCTATTGACAGATTCATCACCATGCCCATATAAATTGATCTTTTGGCCTACTCAATTAAATATATCAGCACTATTGTGTCGGCCGTTTCTCTTATGCAATAACTGCTATTGGTACATAAGTCAATACTCTTCCGTTTCTTTTTGGGCAGTTTGGTTGCATGGATGAAAATTGAGATGCTTACCATTTTCAATTTTGTGATTTCAAGAAGTTGATTGCGCTCGTTGCTTATTTAATTAATCTTTGCGACGCTCGTTAAGCGATTTTATCGAACGCCTTTTCAAAACATTATGTTTGATTTTCGAAATATTAACTACACAACAAATGGGAAAAAAAAATCAGTGCAGTGAAAATTATAAACTCATTGTCTGATTGCTTGGGGAATACGTAATGTAACTCGTTAACAAAACAGGATAATTATCCAAAAAATTCTAAACCTTTTGTATGGAGACCCAAAATTTTCAGCTGATTTGTCAATTTAGTCATAAACCTTACAATTATGCTAATTAGTCATAAGTTTTTTGATGATTTTTCATAGTTTTACACAGTTTGACGATTTGCCAATATAGTCATTCCGGCCAAATATCCAAATAATAGGTTTTGTGACGAAATTGGTAAATTTTCATAAGATTTGGGACTAAATTAGCAAATTCTTAAAAGGTTTACGATGATTTGCCAATTTAGTCTTAAACCTTACAATTATGCTAATTTAGTCATAACTCTTTTGATGATTTTCCATAGTTCTACATAGTTTGACGATTTGCCAATATAATCATTCTGGTCAAATATCCAAAAAATAGGTTTTATGACGAAATTGGTAAATTTTCATAAGGTTTAGAACTAAATTAGTAAATTCTTAAAAGGTTTGTGCCTAAAGTGGTGCAATTGAATGGTTTAAGACTGAATAGACTATCGTATAATTGGTTTAGGGTTTTTTTTTTTAGACGATTATCTATTTACAAAACCCCGACGATAAATATGTAATTCTGCGGTCCAAATATCTTTTTCTTCTTTGGGTTTGAGAAAAAGGCCACGTGAGGAATTAGATCTGGGTCGGGCATCGGGAAGGACGTCACCCCACCCCCACGTGTCAGCATTTGCCAGGTTATCCCTTTGACTAATCTCCGACAATTTCAAATTCAAAGCGGGACGTCCCCCAGTCAGAAGTAAAACAGGACAGCACGTGATTCATGTTGGGAGGGGCACGATTGTCAATTCCGGTCCCCGGTGCGATCGGTGCACCCCCCCCCCCCCCCCCCCCCCAATCATTGACGCGCCTTGGTCCCCGATCTTCAATGAGGGAGGCGGGGCCTTGTACTTCCTCTCTGCGGTCGCGTCGGAGGGCCCACTTCGGTGGTCCCGGTCATGCTCGGCATCTCGAAAGATCGGCACGTTTTCGATAAATCATTTTTCGACTTTTTAATGTAATCGATTTAAGGAAAATTGGATTGATAATAGTAAAGTCAGATCGGAGAAAAATGGCTTTCTATTATGATAAGCAGTGAATCACTTTTTTCTAATCGCCAAACAAATGAAAAATTAATCAATTTCCTTAAAATTGATTTTTATGAAAAATGTTTTCCTTTAGGGTTAATTATTAATCCAAATCGTTAAATTTTATTGTCAAATTACTAAGTTGGATAACACGCGACAGTTGATAGTTTTACCGGTTTGGGATTTTACTCTCCATTTATCACAGGAGTACCCGTTTATGATTTTTCGTAATATTAATCTAATTTAACGAAAACTAACGGATGGTAAATTTATAATAAATATACCATTTTTAGGTTTTTGGTAATCAAAAAATTAATTTGAAGTAAATTTATTACAAATGTATCAATTTAGAATTTTTTGTGGTATCAATCATTTCCTTTATTATAAATTTTTTGATGACACGAACGTGCCTTAAGAGTGTGTGGTGCTCATCTTCATTATTGACCCTAGTGAGCGGTGGAGTTCCACCGTGTCCCTTTTTTCTTTTCCTCTATCATTTTGCGAAACAACAAGGCCCAGTTTGATCATCGGATATCCCGCATCAGCAACTTTTGGATCTATTTCTCGTATCCGATTCGTTTGTTTGGAAATTGACTGGATATATAAACTGTACATGACAAACGTGTAGAAATTTTAGCAAAATTCAGAGGGTTATCATCCTCCCTTATGTACCCTTATGTACCGATTCCATGCATAACTCCTGTTCCTCCCCGTGAATTCGGAGGTAATTATTGAGGCCACCATTCGTTGGCCCAATTCCAAAAAAAATCCTCAACTTTACACTTTATCCCAATTATATCCTGAATTTTTTTTTATCTCAAGAAAAACCACAAACTTTTATTCAAGTCCCAAATCTGCCCTCCCGTTATAAATCCGTCCGATTAACGTCGGAAAAAAAAAAAAAGCAGAGAAGCCGGAGGCTGCGGCGGTGGCCAAGCCTTCGCCGATGGCGGCCCTATGCCAGCCGGGAAGGAGCGGCGGCCCTCGCCCTGGGCCTTCCGAGGCGGCGACCCTCGCCGGCCCGGGCGAGTCGCCGGCGAGGGCGTGCGGCCCCGTCACGGGGAGGGCGCGACCCTCGCCCCGAGATCGGGGGCACGCCGTGCGGGCGGCTCGCTCGGGCCGGCGAGGGTCGCTGGGCCTAGCGAGGGCCGTCGACCCTCGCCGGCCCCAGGCGAGCCGCCGGCGAGGGTCGCTGGCCTTCGGGAAGGCCCAGGCGAGGGCCGCCGCTCCTTCCCGGCGGCCACCGGCGAAGGCTTGGCCACCGCCGCAGCTGCCGGTTCTCTGTTTTTTTTTTTTTCTAACGTTAATTGGACGGATTTATAACGGGAGGGCAGATTTGGGACTTGGATAAAAGTTTGTGATTTTTCTTGAGATAAAAAAAAGTTCAGAATATAATTGGGATAAAGTGTAAAGTTGAGTGTTTTTTTTGAAATTTGGCCTCTTTTCCTTTTGTTGTAATTGTCAAAGAGGGCAGTCACTTCGATGCGATCACCTTTGTCTGCGTATTGGGGGCCGTGAGAGAGAGCGATCACCTTTGTCTACTTCTCTTCTTGTGTGCACGAGGGAGAAAAATCGTTGTTGCGGAAGACGCGGATGTCGGAGAGAAGGACCTACACATTTAATTAGAAATAATCGACCGCTCAAAAAATCTCGAATGCTTTAATTGTGACAAAAAATACATTAATGCTCGGGGAAAATGCCAATAGGTCTTTTCATTATATCTTTTAATTTAATTGTGTGTAAGCAGTTGTTTTTGTCAATATATGAATGGAAATTAAGTCCTCAAAGTATCTCTTCACTTGGGTATTGGATTAATGTGGTCCGTTCAGGCCCATAATAAATAACATATAATATAGTCCATACCATACGAGAACGATGTAGCTCCATGTATCCTCTCCGCTTGATAAATGCTACGAGACAAAAACACAACGTAACCTCCCTGCACGTTGCTAAACAGAATTATTCCGAGTTTCTTGGTTGATGAATTGGAAACCCTACCGCTCGCGCCCTGTGCCAAATTCGATGATTATTCCGTGACCCGGCTTGAAGGACACGATTTACAGAAGATATTAGAGGATTTTCTCTCGTGATGGACATGATGAACACAGTGTTAACCATCATGCATGCATATTGCATAGCTAATAACAACTCAACGACTTGTGCTATTTCCTTGGACGCGCGAACGATTTTGC